CTCTTTGTTCTTTGTGAAATTTGACTTTTTCCCGCTTTTTCTTTTTCTTTTCTTTGCCTCCCCCTACTGTACGCTGTATGCGCAGCGGGTATCGGGCCGTCGATAGCGAGCTGCGGGCAGGGATCTGGAAGCAGCCCCCAGGCTTTTCGTGAGGATGTTAGTTCACTAACTAGCGTACCTGCTTTGAAGACTTGCCCGTTGCAGATGACTTTGTCTGCAGCCCTTCAACTTCTAGGCATATGATAGGAGCGGGCAGTGGTTCTCTTTTCCCTCTCATCCCGAACAGAAGCTTCGTCTGGTAGCTCTGAGCTAGCCCTGGCCAGGGAGGGGGGACCCATTCTTTCGCACTTTCTTGCATAAGTAGAATTCGGCGATGATTTCTTCCAGGCGGGAGTTTGCTGCCTCCCCGTTTCTTCCCGATCGCTCAGTGGGTGGATGGCGTACCCTTCTCAGGTCTCAGGCATGTCCACACTCTACGGTGGTTAGTCTATTCGCTTGACCCCATGCTAACGGCAAACCTGGTCAATCCCCTCAACGGCATACCCTACCCACGTCCTCTCCCCCATGTCTCGCTTCTGGCCGAAATCAACCCCCCTCCCTCCGACAGGGTCTGTGTGGTCAGCTTAACGCCACGACGAGGAGCGTAACCCACCGGAGGCAAATCGGGGACGGAGCAGGGGAGAATCGGGAAATTCATCCATTAATCCGCGGCCATGTTCCTTGGGAGGGGCACATGTTACTCTGGACAGGGAAGGGCAATAATGAGTAGAGAATGTCGCCGTTTTCGTAGTTAGTCCCGCTTCCTTGCCAGGGCGACAAGAATATCCAGAGAAAAAGAGAAAAGCTACAATTCGTCAGACATAATTTGTAAGTTTGTTACAACTATGTTAACTACACAGGTCCACTAGAGGGGGAGAACAAAAGCAACGCATAGCCAAGATAGGACCGCCATACGAAGTGAAAAGATTTGGAATACACTCCTGTGTACGGAGTAGTGTGTACACAATAGTCCTCTTTACTATAGTTCATACATACGTCGACGTCGAAGCAAATTCAATTCCATGCCCCTGTCAACTTTGACATCTGTCAACCTTGTTCGCGACAGCGCGACTATCGAGATTCGTCACCTCCCTCCATCCCTTTCTTCCGCTTCCAAGAGCATAGCATCATTCATCTCCACCTCGATTGGTGCGTTTAACTCGATTCAATTTGAGAATGATTTGGTCCGTCTCCCACCGCTCTCCCGCCTCACCAGGCCTCCTACGCTCGATGCAAGGGGGGTTGTCTTTCTGGATCAATGGGATCAAAAAGAAACAGGCGGTGTATACAAGGTGAAGTAGTAAGCTACGAAATACAGCCTCTCTTACTCAGTCCCCCCTCGTTGCCAGCGATGTTTTACGGCCTGCGTCAACCGAGATCCCCTTGCTGGGTGATTAACCGCGCTAGACAAGGTTGCGAGACTTAACCTCCGTTGTCGAAAAAAAAAAGACTCGTCGTGATCATCGCTGGTGTTGATGTTGGCTGGGGGTAGCCACGGGGAACTGTATACGAGATAGTCAACCCTGCACCAGATTGACCTAGTCAGCAATTTACCATGTTCGTCTCTAACCAAGCATAGAAGATCCTCATCAACGTCATGGGAGGGAATTATGGAGTGCATATTCCGGAGCTCTACGGAGTAATCTTCGGCCCATTACCACACGGTCGGCCGCGATCGCACAAGCCAATCGCCATCGAATTCTATTTCTAGGCCTAGTCTCATATAACCTAGAATCTACAGTATATACTTGTACTTTGTACGGAGTAATTGACGATTGACACTCAACCAGCGAGATGGACATCGCCGGAGATAAAAGCAAAATCCAAAAAAGAAGAGAACATCAACGGAACCCCCTCCCAAGCAAAAGACACTATCTTGCCCATCCATTTCGATCCAGGCGGGCTGGTCTTCAACCGACCCTTTTGGTAAACGCCCAAGTGTGGAACTGGCAGGGATCCCAAGAGAACAGACCCTTGATCGACTCAAGCCACCCGGTGCGTGGTGCCTTCTGAGCCACTGATTCCCCCCTCTCCTCTTTTGCCATCCCTTGGGTGTGACGCGCCCGTGACTCTCGGACCGCCTTATCGGTGGACAGCTTTGTGGGTTGTGGGCTGTTGAAGTGGTCTTTTTTCCCTTTCATGCCCTTGAGGATTGATTTGTTTTCCGTGGACAACAGTAAACGGTGAATCTATTGGATCGGGATGACTGGGTAAGCGGGAAATACTGCCCTTCCGAGTACTAGCAATCTAGCACAGGGGAACGGAAATAACGAACTTACACTCCATCGTCACAGTAGCTACTGAGCAGGCTCATTTGATTGGTAGTATTCACGAGGCGCTCCTAAAGCTCAGGCCACGAAGGGCCGGCGCCCTGTGCCTAGGCTCTCGGTGTCCATAGCCATTACTGTACGGAGTACGGAGAGTGTAGCCAGTGACCCAGCCGGCGACCCACAGAGTAACTAACTGTAACTAATCAGAAAACACCCACCACCACAACGATACCTACCCCCTCTCGTCATCGGCTATAGCCGTGTTGGATGTAATTTCCACCCCCGGGCTTAACGATCGACGGGCCGCGCTCTGCGTTTCCGAGGTCGACCCAAGATATCGCGGAGCGTGGGCGATCGGTCGTGGAAAAAAAGGAATTGTTCGTTATCTGTATTGCAGCTCTTGCTGGATAGGGACGTGATACATCATACAGAGACAGAGTTTGAGTGAGATGTGGTGGTTACGGTATATCGGGGACTATTGTACGTCTTCCGAACGGACGTTGATAAGATGACTGACTATTGTATTCTGAATTTGTAATTGATGAGTGGGGGGTCTTTTTTTCCTTCTGGGGTTGGGACTTGGACTGGGGCTACTGGAGGAATACAGTAAAATTGATTTTCTCAACAGGAATCTTGACGGGAGTCCGTGTACCTGTTCGAGATCTCGGGCGTTAGTGCCGTTAGTGGCAGGAGTGGGTGGGCTCGGTGCTGGCCAGCCTGGGGCCCTCGCTCTCGGACGAGCTGTGATGAGTATCTGTGGTGGAGTTGAGGGGAGAGTTGTTTCTTGTGTTGTTCTCCTGGTCAATTTGGGAATTGAATTTGTATTCCCTTGATTGCTTCGATTAATTGGGTACTTTGCAAGTGACTATCATAACTACTGTATACAGTATCATCCTTCTATCTAAACATCACGGTTGTACAGTATATTGTAGTCTTGAATGTGCCCTGCTAATGGATCTCCCGGTCTTGCACTAAGCGCAGATGAAACCCCCGGCCGTAATCGACCGTGCAGCCGCCGGGCTCTGCAGGCACTATGTCTTGCACGGGGGGCCCCGTCGATCGCGAGTCTCGACTCTGGGACTCCATCCTCATTGTTGAGTAATCTTTTTACGGTGCCCAGTCAAGTATTATTTAAGATAGTCTAGTATGTATAGTAACTATGGACTGTATAGTCACTATAGTGTCTATTCCGTAGTGTATACGGTATAGGCTGTTGTTGTTGTTGTTGTTGTTCCCCCCGTTCTTACTTGGTGGGCATCCCTGGTTCACGGCGGGACCCGCGCTCGTGGAGAGGCCGTCAACCATGGCTCATCCCTTCCGGAGGAAACATCCCCGATGGTCGACCACTGAGTATACAGTCGTACATTGTTGATACAGGAGTTTGGGAGTATGGGATATAGATGGGCTGGAATGGCCTCATCTGTCTTGGGCATATACAATTGAAGGAGATAGTGCTTATATTGCCACCCCATAATGTATGCTCTATATGCAGTATTATGCGTCTACTTTGTTTACTCTCTATGGTCGTCTGTATCCGCTGGACTCTTCTTCTCCTGCCAGTCTACCTATCACACGCTGATCTTCTTGTCTCTTGTGTCTCTTGGGTATCACTGGCCTCTGTATGCTGTATTTCGTACAGTATTCTTCTTCCAGTGCGTGGCGGTAGGGATCAGAACTCCACCCGATCCCAGCGGGCCTATCCCGGGCGATCAGCGTTGTGCTTGTCACACAGACCAGGATCTCCTCAGCTCGGTGGATCCCCCTCTTTTTCTCTTTTTCTCGCTCTCGTCGTGGATGTCCCTGCATTTTTTTCTTTTTCTTTTTCTTTTTCTTTTTGGTTCTTTCTTTTCTGAATGATTTTTGATTTTCTGCTTTTGTTTTTCTTCATTCTTTTCTTTTCTTTTTTATGGATTTTCTATGAATTGTCGTCCGTGTCTGTCCACTCCCAAGAGTCCTGTCCCCCAGTCATGATTGGCACTCCAGTATTTAGCTATAGGTAATTATCCTACGTATATGTAAGTCCTGATGAAGTATTTCCCTCTATTAATCCGGCGCTATTTTAATTCACTGATTTTCGTACCCTCGTCCCGCTAGTCTCCTCCGTCTTCTTCGATCCCTGCCCGTCCTTGCTTGGTGGCGGTTGACTCGATCTCGTCCCCTCCGGACTGGACTTTTCGTGGATGGCCCCCCTCGGCTCCACCCGATGCTCGTTCGGCGGAAACCTCAGGATACCTCCTCCTCCTCCGTACAGCCCCAGCATTTAGCAGCCCTCCCAGCCACCTTACGACCAGCTCTGACTTTCTTTCTTTTCCCAGCTTTTTCCCTACCTCACCTTTCCTCCCCCCCCCCACCCCACATTCCTCTTAGTCATCCCAGTCACCTGCTTTCCCAAACCTCCACTGATCGCCTTTCCCGTCCTGCGGCTCTGATGCGTGCCTCGCCCAACTGATCTCTCTCTCTCTCTTCTTCTTCCTCCCAACTCACTTTCCTCCTCCTCTCCTCCTCCTCCACCCACCCCCTCCCCCCTTGGGTCATCTCAAACCTCAAACCTGCAGACGGGGATGCGTTTGCTGCACGCCAGCCTCTTTCTGTAAAATCTTTCATTTCGTCTGGCCCCCTCCTCCCTTCCGCACTGCGGCCTTATTTGACTTCGGCTGTCCGCAACTTGCATGAACTCACATCCGCCTTTTCATGTTTGTCACGACCGTTCATGAGATTGATGCCTTGTCTGTTCTTTGATTGTTGATTGCTGAGAATCCTTCTGCCCCTCTTCTCTGCTGTCTACGATCTGCTCTGCTTCTGTTGTCTTCCCCCTCAAAAGCGTCGTCTATTGATCCATCCATCCTCCCCGAGTCCCGACTCTTTTGCTGCCTTGCCCGCATCTGCGACTACCCAACGAGCTGATAGCATCTGCACTCCCATCTCCTCCACCCCCACAACCCAACAGGAAAGAGAAGCTTCCAAAACCTGGTGGTGAATTGGAATTTACCTTCAGGCTTCCCTGCTATCAAACCCATTCCATTCTCTCGGACGCAGTGCAACCTTTGCGACCGGCTGTTCTCTTTGTTCAACCAGGTCTCTTGAAACGGCTTGCGGGACCATCCCCACCGTCACTCCGGTCCGAACAGCCTTACCTCCTCCCAACCTCCCACCTCAAGCCCAAGCGCTTTTGATCTCCCTACCTCTCTCTCTACAGTGACCCCCGTGAAACCGAAAAGCTGGAGCTGCCATCGATCTCGCAGGTCCATACCCGCGGCCCTGCTGATACCCCCTGGTACAACCACCACGCGGCCGAACGACCGCTGTTGTCGGGCGATAAGCTCCCCGCGCTCAGCCTCCCGACCGCCCCCCAGGCCCCGACCCGCACGCACCCATCCTCATTCTACCCCGACGTGCCTGGTTCGACCTCCAGTTCCAGCGCCCGATCAAGTCTGTCTGGTGCTTCTGCGGTCCAGGAGCCCCGGAGCCCCCCGCCTCCTGCAGATCTGGGACAAGGTCGGCTTTCGCTGGACTCTGAGTACGCTATTGCTCCGATCGACGGCTTTTATCCCAGTCCGACCTCGCTCGGCAGCATGAACCACACTCAGCCGTACATGGACGTTCATTCCCATCTGTCCTCTGCCCAGCCATACGCTCCACAGGCTGCGACCGCCGGCACTATGTCCCACTATCCATACCAGCACCAGCCACCCGTCTTGCAACCAGCCTCCAGCTATGCCCCGGCGCCTTATCAGCAATACGCCTACCACAATGGCGTGACATCGCCGCCAACCGGCCATGCGCCGCCGGCGAGCTCCATGGGTGCACAAATGCCCGCGCAGTTGTTGCCACTTCCTCAAGGTGAGATGTCCAGGTCAAATGACAATCTTTTGCTTCGTACGAGCTGGGCTAATTGCTGTCAATCAGTGAGCCCAGTGAGCAACCATCCCGGAGGAGCCGCTTCTGGATATGGGAACAGCACCGGATCGCCATTGCAAGGGTACGTATATGACCCGACGGGCCAGATTGCGCCTCCTGGAGCGAAGCCACGGGTTACCGCAACCTTGTGGGAGGATGAGGGCAGTCTCTGCTATCAGGTAGAGGCCAAGGGCGTATGCGTGGCTCGGAGAGAGGGTATGTTTATTGCTGCAACCCCATCAGTGGTGAAATAATCCCGTGTGAAGAGGATCTCTGTCTAACAAGATGAATCTTGCAGATAACCATATGATCAACGGGACCAAGCTCCTTAACGTGGCTGGTATGACTCGTGGTCGTCGTGACGGTATTTTGAAGAGCGAGAAGCTGCGCCATGTGGTGAAGATTGGTCCGATGCACCTGAAGGGCGTCTGGTAAGTCTTTTGTACTGGTAAAACCCCAAGGATATTTGAACTAACCAGCCCACCAGGATTCCATTTGAGCGTGCTCTGGAGTTCGCCAACAAGGAGAAGATCACTGATCTTTTGTATCCGCTGTTTGTGCACAATATTGGCGGGCTGTTGTACCACCCTGCCAACCAGAACCGGACCAACGTAGTTGTGCAAGAATCGCAGCACCGGCGTCTGGAAGGCCTTCCCTCGGGCCCTCAGCGCACCACCCCAACGGCGCCCCAGCACTCGAGCTTGCAGCACCCAGCCATGCACACTCCCATGTCTTCTCACATGTCCCAGCCTTCCTCTATGGGAGGTGGTCCTCGTCCTGGTCTCGATCGTGCCAACACATTTCCTACTCCCCCAGCCAGTGCGTCCAGCCTCATTGGGGTGACCAATCAAGGTAGTTCGTATGAATGGGGTGGCCAGGTACCGCACACGCAGCCCTTGTCCATCGATACTGCCCTGAGCAACCAGCGCTCCATGCCCACGACGCCCGCCACGACCCCGCCAGGCAACAACCTCCAAGGCATGCCCCCGTATCAGGCTCAATCCGGTTATGACAGCAAGCCATACTATTCCGCCGCGCCGCAGACCCATTCACAGTACGCTCCGCAGACGCCCATGACGCAGTCCGGAATCTCGACCTACGGCCAATCCCTTCCCACGATGAACTACCTGAAGAACGAGATGGCTCCTCCGACAGGTCGGGCTCCTGAGACCGAAGCTTCTGATCTGAAGTCTGACCGATATTCCCAGAGCAATGGGTCAGATCGCTACTCGCAGAGCAATGCTCCCGGTGATGCGGTACAGGAGCATGAGCCAGAGTACCTGCAGGACCAGGGGTCTGCCTACAACAACCGTGGCTCCTACACGTACACCACCAATCCCTCGGTGGGCTCCATCAATGGCGAGCATTCTCAGTTGACGCCCGAGATGACCGGATCTCCGCAGCAGAACGGTTCGGGCCGCATGACACCGCGCACCAGCATTAGTGGGCCGGGTACGCACTGGGCCTCGGGATATAACACACCCCCTCGCCCCACAGCCGCCACGACGTTGTACAATGCTGTGAGTGACACTCGCAGCACACCTGCGAACGGTGCCTCAGACCCTTACTCCATGGCGTCAACCACGACACCCGTCTACTCGACCACCATCAACGGCAACATGGGTTCGGGCAACAAGCGCATGCGCGAGGACGATGATGTTCTACGAACGGACAGTGGCAACGAGTATGAGAGCAAGCGCCGCAAGACTATCACCGACGCCACGCTTGGCGGTCCCATCTTGCAGCCCATGAAAACCAGCGGGGTGATGGCTCGCCGCCGATGAACATCACCCCCGGATCCACCTTTCTCATCACTTGCGTCATTGGGGAAGACACTTTTCACGAACTTAATCACGCCAACTAACAATTTCTCTCACCTCTGGATGGAGTTTTGATTTCCTCTTTGTTTTGATGATAGACGCGGCACCGTGGTGTGGAATGATCCTCCGTGTCGCGGACTCTGGGAACGCTCGACATGACCTGCTTTCTTTGATTCAGTTTAAGCATTGCGTTGAATTTTACATCTTATCTTGCGCCTGTCTCGATGAAACAGAGACTACACTCGGTCTTTTTTTATTCTCGCAATCGAACTAGGGGATCCACTCATAGAGTTGATGGCACTGGCCGTTCCGTGACTCTGTTTCTCCAGGTTTCGATCAAGCCGAGTGCCCTTTCGATTATGTTTTATGTCTTTGGCCAGGTTGGACTGAACTGGATCTTTGGATACCCCATCCATTATGCAACATCCCTTCTCCACTACCATCTCTTCCGCAACGCAAATTGATGACATGGGAAACGGGCGGATGGCATGACCCAAGCTGATTCGACAGGCGGTGGAGAAGAGCATTCTCACCCTCGTCTTTCTCTTTCGTCCCCGCCTACCCTCCCCGTTCCCCACTTATGACCATAATGACACGAATCTCATATAACGAATTTTCTATGTCCACACTTCTTGCTCATTCATGACCGGGAATTGCCAAATTCCACTTTTCGACTTCCGCATGTCTCGAGTTACTGGGTTCTTGGAGACACTCGAGAGCGAATTGTTGGCCATTGGAAATTTTTGCGACGTTTCCGTTCTTTTTTTCTTTGTTGGGCAAAAGGGTTTTTTTTTGTTTCCTTTTTTCCTTCTTACTCATCTTATGATTACCTTTTTTTTTTTTTACTGGGCATTTTGGATTTTCCGGGTGATTCTTGGGTTTTAGCCTGGTTTGTGTCTGTATCAATTTCTACTTAGGGCTATGTCCTTGCAGTTCGGAGCTGCAGTCATATTCTTTAGCAACGGAATTTGTTCCAGACGGGTTCTGCGCTTGGATTTTGGGCGCGGCCCTGGGCTATTATTTTGTTTTTCTTCCTTTTTCCTTTTCCTTTTCTCTTCTGCCTTCTTTCTGTTTTTAGAGAGATGACATGACGGTAATGAATGATCATGAATATGAAATCTTGCAGTCCGCGGTTTTGTCTTTGAAATTTCTGGGGGTTTCAGCTTTAAATGACTCGGTTCGTCTGTTCTTCGTTAACATGGCCGGGATGTAGTGCATGGCAATATACGACACTATTTATGTCCTGTTGGCTCTTGGCTCAATGCTCTGCCTGTCTGACTTCGCTGTCACTCGGCCTGTAGATTGATGTAGCTCCATGGCAATAGAATAAATAGCTTTACTATAATTCAGACACCGCCACCCGCCTTCTGTGCTACCATCAACCGCGTAGTTTCTTAACTTTGCTATTTTGTCATATCGCTTCCTTTAACAGCGACTTGTAACCGATGACCTCTCCCGCGTGCCCACGGTTTGAACGGGCCGCCTAAATACCACTCTAAGGAACCAGTGTAGCCTGCCTGCCTGCTTTCCACGCCCTGACCTACATAATCAAAACAAACAGGTCTAACCAATAATTTCTCTTGTATACACTATTCCGGAACGCCCAGTGAGTGAAGTACCCAGTTCACCCCTTCACAAGCCTCGCATACCACCCCATAAAGTCGCCGGACAGGTATAAGGCCATGAGACAACTGAGCTATAAATGCTTGTTCGTATGCCAAGGAACGCCTTGATGGGTGGCCTCGCGTAGTATCGTCCACTGGGGATCTGATATTCAGGTGGCTTTGGTATAGGTGGCCTGAATTGATCGGGGTGTTTGGAATTTTTGTGATGCTGGAGAACTTTAGAGATGGACAGTGGAGGAAGAGATAGGGTTACGGTTATTATGGGTATTGGTCATGATATTAAGAAGGTAAGATGGAATTGTAGATTATATTTGGTGCAATACTAGGTAGGGCGTGAGCTGGAAAGAAAGCTTGTGCGGTCTTTCTCCTTCTTGCAAAAAGAGGTTATTGGATAAGACATCAGGCATGATCAGGATCAGGCCCCGTTTCAAAAGAAACTGTTGCTGTCGGACTATAGCTTCTAAAAGATCAACCAAAGTTCACTACGGTAGTTGCATCCCTGATCCAAGTCCACGCTGGAAGCCTAACCCTTACAGCCGTTGAACTCTCTCTCTCAGAGGTCCTTAAAACCCCGTCCTCCCTCGAAGATCTACCACCCATCACCAACAATCCCAGTCCCAATCACACTCTTAAACCCAGTCTCAATTACCATCATACATCTATCCTCGTTCTAAAACCACCAAAAATGCAACTAACTCACCTCCTCGCCACCGCAATCACCCTCACCACCGCCTCAGCCTCCACCGTCCCCCCAACAAACAACAAATGGGCCCAGCTCCGCCTCTTCGGCAGTCCTGGCTGCGAAGCGAACAATCTGCTTGAAATGGGCGTGTACGGGTACCAGAAGAATCAGTGTCAGAATATTGCGCAGTATGGGACTATTGAGGCTGTGAATATTACTTCGATATTTGATGAGTGTGAATGTAAGTAAGCCCCGAGTCTGAATCTCCCGGTTTTGAAGGAGTGCCTGTCTGGCTGGCTGTCTGGCTGGCTGTGACTATGATCTATGATTGTGATTGTATTCGTGATGTGGTGTATAATGACTGACTGGCTGACTATGGTAGTGTATCTGTATGAGGATGCGGGATGTAGTGTTGAGAAGAGGATTGGGATTAGTGGGTGTGTGGATGGGGCGGGGCCGTATGGAGGTCTTATTTTGTCTTGCCTTGTTTGAGGAGGGTTATGAGGTTGTGAGATTGGGGCTTTTAGATTGTATTTCAGATTCTAGAGATGTATTCGAATGAGTTTTGTCTTTTAGGACTTCGTTTCTTGTTGGGGTTTGCTCAAAGTCTTTGGCTGAAGATTTGTCCATGGAGGCTCAATTCAGCTAATATCTGAAATCTGGTGACGTTTTTTCTGTTTTCTTGGGTAGTATTTGAAGTACCAAGCGTACATAATGTAGTTCAAGATCCTTCTCGTGCAACAGTGACACTTAAGACGGTCGACTTCAGTGTCTACTCTGCACGGCCCCTTATTCTGGCAGCAACCGATGGACTCGTTTTTGCTGAGCAGCACCCAAACTCGACTCGCAAGATTTGCTTCAAGGAGATTCCTTTCCGGCATTTTCCCTTCAATGAAAGATAGATCTCTAAATTGAATTATGGTTATCTCTGACACGTTTGGTGCTAGTGACACGGGACTAAGAATAAAACGAAGATTTGGACGCTGCGGGCCCAGGATGTGCACTAGGTGATTCCGTATAAGCGAGCCCTCTACTTCCTTGGGAGGAAATGTTGGACAAATATCACATTCTCTTCTAAAGGCTCTCCCCCAAACCGGAATGGCACCCGAAGAGGCCAAACATGTAACATTTGGCTCATCAAAGTTGACGATCTTAACTTCTCCAGAATACGAGTTCTTATGCCAAGATAGCCGCAATACGAGCACTAACTTGGCCAAGACCCGTACTCACGCCATATTTAGTTCAGATTCACGCCGAGTAGGATACAAAATCTCCCCCTGGTTTACCCTCGCACGTGGGTGAGATGGCCATCGTGTATGGACTGCGAAGAAGAATGAGCTTCAGCTTAAATATCGAGCTGAGATGCACAATGAAGAGCAAAATGACACTCTTCGTCAATTATTCACAGACTTGTCGCGTGAGTAGTTGACAATATGCGTATTCTTCAAGCACTCCTTCTATTTGGGGTCGCGTTCGTGCCCATGACTGTCGCAGTAGTGGATGATCCAGCCAAGGATGCAACGCCCTATCACGATGAATTCCCTCTTTTCCGCAGCGCCAATATGAATTCTCCCGACAAGCTAGCCAGTGGTGTTGGCTTCCATTCCTTCCGTATTCCAGCGGTTGTTCGCACTGCTACCGGTAGAATTCTCGCTTTTGCAGAGGGACGTCGACATGATAATCGAGATTTCGGCGATATCAACCTTGTATACAAGCGCACCAAGACCGCCACAAATAATGGTGCCAGCGCCGCTGACTGGGAGACCTTGCGCGAGGTCGTTGGTAGTGGCGATGGTACTTGGGGCAATCCCACGCCCGTCGTGGATGGTACAACGATCTACCTGTTTTTGTCCTGGAACAATGGCAGCTACAGTCAAAAGGGGAACGACGTGCTACCAGATAAATCCATCACGAAGAAAATCGATAAGACCTGGTATGGTCGTCGACATTTATTCCTTACAACCAGCGTCGATGATGGCAACACATGGTCGAAACCCGAGGACTTGACGACTACATTGACCCCTGAAAACTGGTCTTGGGATGCTGTCGGACCGGGCAATGGAATTCAACTCGATTCTGGAGAGCTTGTCATTCCTGCCATGGGCCGGAACATCGTTGGTCGTGGCACGGCAGGCAATCGGACTTGGTCACTGCAGCTTCTGAGTGGTGCTGGAGCTGAAGGCACTATCTGCCAGACGCCAGATGGGAAACTATACCGGAATGACCGAGCAAGCTCTGCAGGTCATCGTATTGTTGCAAGAGGCAGTCTCGATGGGGGGTTCAGTTCATTCACTTCAGACGAAGGGTTACCGGACCCGGCATGCGAGGGCTCCGTGTTGAAGTATAATTCGGATGCACCGGCGAGGACGATTTTCCTCAACTCGGCTTCCACTACTAGCAGACGTGCAATGAGAGTCCGCATTAGTTACGACAATGACGCTGCTAAATTTGACTATGGACGCAAACTTTCCGACGCTCCTGTCAGTTCGGCTGGGTACGAGGGTGGATACTCCAGCATGACGAAGACAGCTGACTACAAGATTGGGGCATTGGTTGAAAGTGACTTCTTCAATGATGGGACTGGGAGTGGGTCGTATAGGTGTATCTTCTGGCGGAGATTCAATCTGTCATGGATTTTGAATGGCCCGGACAATTAGGGTGCTGGTAACTGGAATTGAGATCGTGTTGCTAAGAACGGTCGAAAGAGTTGGTTGTTAAATGATATCAATCAAAGTTTTATGCTTCTACACATTGAGTGATTTTTCTACAAAGTAGACTGTCATTCTCTAACCTTGGGACTATCTCTTTGGAAAATAACATAGATAGGGAATAGTCACAAGGACCCGATGCTTGCTGAACTTGACTACTTGATGGCTTTGAAAGCATATAGATTCTGAACAAGGTATCTAAGGATACGAGATTAAGAGCATTCATAGCAAGTAGCACAGTTATACTACCAAAATTAGAAAGGACAAAAATGAAACTTGAGAATTCAAGTTGCTTAGTCGAGGGTCAGCATACGGTTGAGTACTTCGGTAAGTAACAGCTCAGGGCACCCACTTAGCCTGTGTTCCGGAAGCCGCTCGCATTTTTTTGATGAGATGGAAGTGTTGATTACCATTAAAATGTTACAATCTCGGGATCTAGCGATTATTATCATTGATTCCCATGGCTACAAATCCATGGGTTGAAAGAAAAGCCTCAGAATATTATCACGATTATTTCTCGATGCCACGAAGACTAACTTGGCCCCACAGTAATACCAGAAACGCCGGCATAAAGCCGGTTACATTGTTAGTGAAGGGAGTCGTTGCCTCAGAAGTGAGAATTGTATCTGCCAGTGGGCCACCATGTTCACGAGACTCAGGCCAGAAATGCACTTCAACAACAATACAGGATTTACTCTGCCTTCAGTGGGGCTTAGATTCTGTCTTGAGTGGGGCTGGCTTAAGCCCAGGCTCAGGTCAAAAAGTCAAAGAGTACATTCGAATATCATCTCAGCTTAGGGCGCTTGGGAGAAAAGAGAAGGTACGGAGAATCGGATCACCATATTGGATGTTGGGCTTTCTCTTTCTGTATTTGTCCCTTTTGATCGATAATTTACTCAGCGAAAAGGAGAGGTAATTACACTCCTTGTGTGGGCCTCCGCGCTACAATTGCGCCTCCCGTCTCGATCTACCGTTGAGGATCCACTATTAGGGATCTCCAGGTCCCCCAGCAATATTAGCCCACGGCATCTTGTCACACCAGTCTCATTCAGAAGTATCTTCAAACGAATTTGAGCGCGTCTAATCTTATAGATTATCTCAAATACTTCTTGCTGTAAACCATTGGTCAGAAATGACGTTAAAGTTCAGCGGCTTTGCGAAGACCCTCACACATTTATGTTCGCCAATCCTCCCTTCGCATATCTGACATGTGTCAGATTATTCTGTTCTTAGTTGACGTCAATGCTTCCATATCCGATCCTACCCCGCTTGATCTAAGTTTATGGGAAATTGTACGGAGCTCTATGCCCCGTCTTTGTTGTCCACTCTCTTGCGCTGCATCGTACATACTTATACCCACCTTGCCAGTTCTAGCCGAGCCTACCAGAAGTTCACAAGTATGATTTAGCAGGCCCAATTTCTGGAAACGCCTTTGAGAAGTTGTGATATGACGATTGGTATGGAAAAGATAACCATACTCGAGTAGTGATATACCAGTTTACTGCGACAAGTGCCTGCTGATTAGATCACGAGTTTATGAGGAAGGTTCAGCGAAGATTTATCAGATCATGACGTTACGAGATGAGATTATGTATTGAGTACCATACAGTATGAGACTGACCTTACTTGTACAGACACGGAGGGATGCCATGAGCCAATTATTTCGATAGCTCACAACTATCCACAGCACGCTGACATGCGGGATTCTTCATTATCACCAATGATGTAGATAGCTTTGACCCTAGAAACACGTGACGAAGCCACTGTATGAACTCTAGTGGCCAACAGTGTCAAGTATTAACCAAGTCTCAATTCTATCTTTACTCGGCGTGGGTGCATTCAAAGTAAGCGAGAAACCTGTCATAATGGGGGTCTATCGATTCGTATCGAAGGGCCACTGAACAAGTGAACCAAAATACCATCCAAAGAAGGTCAAAAATAAAAGATAGCAGTGCAGTGTCTATTTATGTGACCAGAGAACTATAGTTTGCCAAGTTGAGTATTCTCACGATGTCTACTGTTCCCCGCCCCCGCGGAGTCGGAGAGTCTCGGGAACAATCATCCACCGACTATGGGTCCACCGACATCATCGATCGTCAAGGATATCCATTTGCGGTGCACCCTGGTGTATGCGCCCTCGACCCCGCATCACGCCATATACAGTGGAACCAATGTAAGACAGAATACCATTACATGCAGCTGTGGCTTCTGTGGCCCTGTCGCCCGTGCTTTGCGAGGCGCCCCACATCAGGATGGGAGGGGGTAAAGAAGATGTGCTTGGACGGCTCGAGACTACGTAGACTGCGTAGCAGCGGAACCAAGGCAACGACGACGCAAAACACAGATCAATTGGTGAGTTGGATGGGACGGGTCGAATGCTCGGCATGCGTTCAATTGCTATAAGAACGTAGGGGTTGCACGCAAGGGTGGAAGGTGAGATTTCGAATCACAATCTCCTGCGCAGAAAAAAAATAGTTATTTCACTGTTTGACAATTTGCCTTCATAAACATCCCACCTTATAAGTTTCATATTCACAAACAATTCGACTTTCCACCATGACTGCCTCTGCAACCCAATTGTTCCTCCGCCAGGCCCGCGACACCAAGAGCGTCGAAGACTGCATGACAGTCTACGACAAGTGGGCCGCGACCTATAACGATGAAGTTGGCGACGAAGCCCAAAGCTACGTCGCTCCTATCCTCGTTGCCCAGGCAGCCATCAAGTACAAGTCATCCAAAAGCCCTGCCGAAAGTGTAATCCTAGATGCCGGTTGCGGAACTGGCCTCGTCGGTCAAGCCCTTGCCATGGGCGGAGCTAAGGCAATCGACGGCATTGACCTGTCTGCGCCGATGCTTGGCGTCGCTCGGGACACTGGCGTGTACCGAAACCTTGCTCAAGCAGACATGACCCGACCCCTCAACAATGTGGACGAGACATACGACACAGTTGTATGTGTTGGAACCTTCACTCTAGGCCACGTTGGCCCAGACCCTGCCCTGCGCGAGCTCATCCGCGTTACTCGGACAAATGGCATCGTTGTTGCTACCATCCTCGATGAAATTTGGGAGTCACATGGCTTCAAGACCGAGGTTGAGAAGCTAAAGGCCGAGGGCCTGGTGCGGGTTGTGTCTGAAGATTTGATAGATTATGTAAAGGGCCATGGTGACAAGGCAGTTTTGCTCATCCTAGAGAAGGTCAACCGATCTTGAAGAATGGACAGCCATAGCGACGACGAAGAGTGCGAACGCAGGGTACAAAGCCGATTGCAGCAACCCCAATGCGACACAAACCCCACGCTATAGGCTTCGTTTCAACACGATTCCATTTGGGAGGGACATTCAAGGTTCAACACCTGTCTGACTGCAGCCCAAGTGATGATAATGATAATGACCTGGATTCCATTTGTATGAATGAAATCACAAACCAAAGTAAAATACCACTCTTTGGGCAGGCCCAGCTTTAAGTAGAATAGGATAATTTCCTCGGCAGAGAATGGGCATCTCTAATCCTCAACGAGAGATCGGCAAGTACCCGGTAGGAAGCCGGTTTTCTGCATACTAAATGGGTATGAGATATGTCCAAGCACAAAACCTTTTGAGCATGTCAGTGCCTCTTTAGGACAGAGAACCCTGTTTTGCATGTACAGTCAGCTTAAAACTAAATGTCAAGGGATGACAGTCTCTTTTATAGCAAACCAAAGCTCTAAGATGGTTGCACGTTGTTTCGATCCAGCGCGTTCGAGGTTCCCTTTTGGGTAATGAACCCCCTCCTGCAGATACCCTTCGTTTTCATGTGGGGTAATGATATCAGGATTGAGTAATCTGGGGGTCCTAGAGCCTTACCCTTTTATCAGATGGCATTTTATTTAGAGTATTACAGAGATACTGAACATACATGTCTGGAACTTGTCATGTAACTGTCAACAATGTGGCTTGATATAGATCCGATTTGATCATGTGGAGGTGGATCTTCCATGGTTAGATGAGTAGATCGGTGCATGAAGATAACAACGTTAAATCAGCCACCATTTCGTTACCTCCGAGTCAGAATGAACCTCGTGAATTCCCTAGCTATAGAATTGAATCATGTGTTATAATCCATTGAAATCGCTCTCAAATCAACTTAATCCTACTAGATCCCAAGTCCATTCCCAACCCCTCCGCCTCTCCCACGTGACAGCCCCGACCCTATCCCAAAAGAGCAAAACCAAAACACGTCGATTTCTGGTTCTGCAAATTGTCCCGCGACCCAACGTCACTTTGCCGCAAACTTGGAAAATCCCCCTCCTTCCTCACTCACTGGCTCGCTCACAACACTGACCTCACACCACATCCACACTCTCAACCTCTTAAACTAACAACAACTTATCACCCTTCCGATCCATCCTTCCACAAACCTCAATGAAATGCCCCCCATCCCCACCCAAAAACCCCCCTACATCCACCAAATCAAACCCACAGAACCACCACATCTTCGACCCCTGGAACTCCTCCTCAACCGGCCACCAGTGCGCCGAGAATCCATTCTCCGGCACCACCTCCTGGCGTGATACCCGCTCCGCAAAATTGAAGCAACAATTCCGCGGCGAGGACTGTCCCCGCGATCGTGCCGGCGCACTGGGTGACCAGGACTTTTCGGCAAAAGCGTTTGACGGGACGCGTGGATCTGTGTCACCGGTTGCGGAAAGTTATGAAGCTGGAAATCGAAGTGTGAATGGGAGTACGGCGAGGGCGGGAGAGTGGCGGTGGGTTTCGGACGAGGAGGCAAAGAGGGCTCAGTTGGGGGTGAGGGATATTCGGTGCTTTATGGGTGTTGGGAAGAGGAAGTCTGGGAATGGGTTTCAGGTGCAGATGCAGGGTGTTAAGAAGGCGAAGAATGTACCTGAACAGAGGAGAGAGAAGGGGGAGTTGCATGCGACTCCGAGTACGACGATGGCTAAGCCTACACCTGCGCCTACACCTACGACTGTGACAGCGCCAAAGTCTTCGACCATCTCTACAAGGCAACCCCCACCAACATCAAAATCCAATCCTGAGCCTGATCAGCGACAATCAAACCTATCCATCACAAATCCCTCCTCCTCAACCTCGAAAATCTTCACCGGCACAACAATCTACATCAACGGCTCGACCCTCCCCCAAATCTCCGACCACAAATTAAAATCTCTCCTCGCCGCGCACGGTGCCACTATCGCCATCGGCATGGCCCGCCGAACAGTCTCTCACGTTATCATCGGACAACCAGGGACGATGGGGCAGGGAGCGGGTGGTGGTCTTGCGGCGGGGAAGCTGCAAGGGGAGATTGAACGGGGTGGGTGGAAGGGGGTTAGGGTTGTTGGTGTTGATTGGTGAGTCCTTTCCATGCTACTTTTTAACATCTGTTTTTGTCTTTTTTCTTTGTTTCTTGTGAAACAATCGTCTTTGGTGGGATAGGGATATTGTGTATGATGTTGATTTGGGTTCGGTTTTCTTTGTGTTCTGGAAAAACATGACTGATTTGGTGTATCTGTGGCAGGGTTCTCGAGAGTATCAAGGCGGGTAAACGTCTTGCTGAGTCGAGGTTTGCTGTTTTGAGTGTTGCGCCGAAGGGGCAGAGGAGTGTTGCTGGTATGTTTGGTGGGAGGTGAGGGAAGAGGTGGAGGTGAGGCTGGAAATGATACCCACGGTTACTTGGATTTCTTTACGACTTTGGACGACAGCTTGGGGCAGTTTGGGCTGGGTTGCCCATCGACTATACGCCATTTTACATGCCCGTCACCACGTTTCCAATTATTTTCTATCACGCATTTGGGATGGCGTTGACATAGCATTGCATCTTTTAGCCAATTGGCTGGCATTTACGTCTGTATTGATATCAACACGGCGTTGCTCTCTACTTCACAGGGAGTGGATTGATACTTTATGATACCCTTGGAATGAAAACGAATCAAAAATAACTCAAGGTTTACTTTCAGAATAACCCTCTTTCATCCCTCAATCATAATGCATTAGATCATTTATCATCCACGCGATCACACGTCCAAATATGTACATCAGTCCAAGTCCAAGTCCACGGCCACGTCCAAGCAGTGTACCACATAATCCAAAGATGTACACCAAATATCACCATCCATACAGGCACAAGCATGCCAAGTCATAAAGAAAATATCCAAACTCCCAGAAAAAGAAAATCAACACCGCTGAAACGCAATCAAAAAAAAAAAAAAAAAAAAAGGCTTAAATATCATCAAATGTCAACGGGACAATTTCAGGTCAAGATCAAGATCGGGAAATAGATCTGACGTGAAATGGCAACGTATGTGCAAGAAGATGAGAAGAATGGACGCAGTCAACATCCAAGTCAACCCAAACTCAAGACTCAAACTCAAAGAAACGCCCCCTTCGAACTTCCACGAGGAAGACTCCGCCTTTCATACGTCTCACCATCCGCACTGCTAACCTCAGACATATGCCGACGCCAACCGCTGTGCTGTCGTGTCGGAGCACCAGCCCCAGCCGCAGGCGTGTTATCATCATCGCGAGCCTCCATCGACGAAATCGATGCAACGCCCATATCCGAGGATTCTGATGAGACGGATCGCACGCCGCCGTCTAGTGTAAGAGGAGCGTTATCCGGCAGTGGCGGGAGCGGGTTGGGATGGCGGTGCGTTGAGAAGGAGGACTGCGCGGGTGGGGGAGCGCGCACGTGTGAGGAGGAGTTTGTTCTCGTGCGGGAGCGTGGAGCGCTCCATCCTTCGTGCTCGTCCATGTGCTCTTCCGAGGACGTCGTCTGTCTAGCGTGGGGCAGGTAATACGGGTTCGAAACGTTGCCGGACTGGGCGTAGAATGCGTGGTGGTCTTCGTATGGTGGGAATGCGGATGTGGACATGCTGGAGACTGAGTCGCCGTGGGCACGGCCTGACGGCAGCGGGTGTGGGTGCATAGGTTGAATTTCAGATAGATCGGATTCAGAGCTGGACCAGCGCTCGAGTTTCTCGCCGAGGGTTTCTTCTGCAGTGTGCGAGTCGCCGCGGACGAGGCCGAGGCGTTCTTCTTCGGTGGCGCGGCGCAGAATGCTGCGTGGTGGGCTGCCGGTGCGTTTGGGGGACGTCGGGGTGCTTTGGGCCTTGCGGCGGCTGAACATGCTGTTGAAGGAGAATTGGCGGCGTGCGACATTGGGTGGTTCGAGAGCGTGGTGGGTCTGAGGTCGGTTGTCGTCGCCTTTCTCGTCAGCCCAGGAGATGGAGCGCGGTGTGTCACTGCGGTCGCGGCCTGTTGGGCGGAAGGGTGGCTCTAGTCCGCCTGCAGCACCGTGATATTCGGTGTCGACGGCGCTATTACGAGTCGTCATTTCCGTGTCATTATTGGCGTTTTTCTCGTCTTCCTTGTGGACGGGTAGCCATTGACCATTGTGGAGAACACTTGATGTGCGAGATCGGATCTCGCCCAAGAACGAGTGTCCGCTGTGCTTGGTGTTGGGCCGGTGGTCATCCTCGGGTTCTGGATCGGGGAATCGAGACATGCCCAATGGGGGCAGCGGTTGTCTGACCGAGGGTGAGCGAGGCGTGAGCGGACGAGACATGGTAGGTCCTTCTCCAATAACGGTTTTGCGCCGACGAATACCATCCCACTCGATAATCTCATTTTGACCTGGCGGTTTCAGGAAATCCTCTTGCTTCTCGTTCATGAAGCGCCGGGCTTCATCGTGTTCATGTTCACGGCGAGTAGTCGAGATTCGGCGAAGAATAGATGCCGCACCGCGGATCGAGTCAGCCTTGGGCTCATATTCAGGCTCCTCCTGAGCAGCCACTTCGCGAATCTGGTCCAGATCGCCCTTAAACACGGCAGCATCTGGAACATCTTTGGCAGACTTAGATAGCTGTAGCAGGACCACGCCGGCACAGATCTGCATAAAGCCCATGATCACAGTAGCAATTTGGATACCAGTTCCCTTGAAGCCCTGGAACAAGATGGCGGAAGTGATGATAGTCGCACTAGTGAACATGACATAGTAAGTTGGGGTGACGAGAGCGGCATTGAAAAGATTCAGCGCTTTCTGTATTGTAATGGTTAGCCCAATCCCAGTAAAATCAGATGGTTGACCGCAAAACATACGTTGAGGTAGATAATCTCCGTCAGCAGCGTGCAAACCACAAAAACGAACAACACATAAAGAAACCAGTGCTTGAACTGGGACTCGCCATTGATCTGGGCAAGAATCGCCGAACCCAGACCCTGCGTCGCAACAACACTCAATCCACCAACCATACTGCAAATGCTAATATAAACAAACATGTTCTTCTTGCCATACCGGGGACCCACCCAGAGCGCCGTAAATGCCGCCCCGACCAGAATCACACCCGCATACGACAGAAACCCCGGAGCGATCACGAACTTCTGCATACCCTGGATATCGCTAACGGAGGACTGCTCGGGAGCATTCATCGCGATCACGATAGACCCAATAATACAAGAGAAACAGCCGACCTTGCCGACGAAACTGAGTCGTTCTTTGAGGAAAATCGCAGAGAGGATCGTGGTAATGACGACGGAGAGCGCACCCAACGGGGTGACCAGAATAGCATCGACGAAGGCGTATGCGACAAAGTTGCAGATCTCCCCCAGGATCATGAGCGTCATGCCTAGCCACCACCACGCATTCTTCAGGTATCCATAGCCCTCGCCGGCCTCTTCATTGTACTTGACGTTTGCCTTGAGCAGGCCGATCTTCTTGATCACAAAGGAAATACCGATGAAGACGCCCGAGGCAACGGCTAGCGAGATACCGACGGCTTTGTAGACGGGCGGGCGACCGCTGGAGTCGGCGCGCCCTAAAAGCGTGGAGGCATGATACAAGCTCTCATGAGGATCCATGATGGGCGTTGTCAAGAGGGAGGGAGGAGAGTAAGAAGAGTCGTTTATCGGGGAATACCACACTGGCCAGCAGTGGGAGAGATATGAGGAGGAGGGGGGGGAGGGTTTGTCGCAAGGGCGACTAAGCTGAAACACTTATTCAGGCCACTTTGTCAGACTGGCGAAGCGCTTGACCTGAGCAAGATGATGCAGGCGCGATCACAGATCCACGAGCGAGCCGAGTTGAATAATAGGGGGAGGGTGACACGATCGAGGCTCTTGAATGATGAAATGATAGTTATCGCTGTGGCTTTAGTAACTGTACTGCTGATCGCGGAATGTTTCTGGAAGGTCGAATGGAATCAAGGCGGGGGCGAAACGATCAGCGCTGGATGGACGTCAGTGGCAGTGATTGCGGTGTCAGTGAGCGACCGAGGCGAATCGCAAATCAAATTGAAAGGGATAGTTTGCAAGATGTACAGAGTATGAAAAAGATATGAAAGAAGAAAAAGGGGAAGAGTAAGAACAAAAGGCGAGGAAGAAAGAGCACGATTGGAAAAGGGGAAACGCAGAAACAGACGAGGCTGGGCCTGTGGGGAAGTGGGAAAAGAGAAAAGGTACCCAGTGGGTACGGCAGGCTCCACTCTTTACGCTGCAATCGTCACGGTACCTGACAGGTACCGAATTCTTACAGGAGTAAGATGTGATTGGTTTTAAATGGATGATTACCTGTCGGGACCAGGAGGTCTGGAGTACAAAGATTGGAGCCAAAAGAATCTCGAAACCTCGTCCATGGACCGGGTGTGGAGGTACCCCAGCCCAGCCAGTCAGGTTGGCCTGAACTGACACAAGCTGATTTCCTAATTTTAGCTTCCTCCAGACACTGACAGTGGTGCCTGATCTCGCCACTCCCAAGTTGGACAGTTCGAGACTGAAATATACGCAGAAGCTAACTGGCTAGTCCCAAACATGCTTTTTGTACTACAGTACTGGTAGCTAGCTAAGTCTCTATCGTCATTACTCTGCTCTTCTCATCGTCATAGTTTGCTCTGAACATCTTATAGCAAAGGAACAGATTCGTGTGCCTCATTTTCTAGGCATCCAATACTATACATAGAAGAAAGCGAGAGGCACACTCCTAATACTCATAGACGTCATCATCATTCACCAATCCTGCTGGAACCCAGTCCAAGTAAATCAGGCTGTCCGGCAACAAGCCGTACTGTTTATCCGACTCTGTCTTGCAGCACCAAGTTGATTACCAAAGGGCCAGGAGATAGAAAACTGGATCAACAAAACAAATAGGTAAACGCCCAGACACCGCTCGTTCCTCGGTCCACTTCACTCCCTGTTCACCGTGCCGATTGAAGGGTATCCATTAGAATAAACAAGAAGAAAAGGAATTATCAGAAAACATGAGATAGAGTCATAAACAGCAAGTCACACCATGATTCAGTGATCACCGCACGTGGTAACTCGGCTTGCGCTGTCTGTTGACCACGGGCGGAGGCTCGTCCACGGGGTATGGCGGGCGCACCTTGCTACTTGGCAAGGGGACGTGCGGTTGAGAGAAGAGCGGCGCAGGCATAGAGACACTGCCGTCCTCAGTAGATGGATATGGGATGGGTGTCTTGGGCGGAACGGGCGGGGGCATGCCGTTGAGCGGCGACACATTATAAGATGGAACGTGCTCGGCGCTGCGCCCAGGAGATCCCAGCCCTTGCGAGGGAGGTCGGCTATACTCGTGACTGGGACGGAAGCTAGCGATATCACTGCTGGAGTGTCGCGTGGGTGAGACAGGAAGGCTGTTGTCGTGGGGAGTTGGATGTGCGGGTAGCGAGTCCGGTCCTGGTGGTGCGGTCACAGTCACACTAGAAGGGACTGGAGGAGAGGCCTGCGAGGGGTGATGGGGAAAGTATTCGACCGGCGAGGCAGGTAGCTCGATTGCGAATTGATTCGATGGTGGTGGCACCGAGTAGGTCGAGGGGTTGCGCGAGTGGACCATGATCTCTTCCCGCTCGAGGTCAAATGACATGTCATCACGGTCACCTCCGGCGGCCGCATGCTGGGCAAGGCGCTTGTTCATGCGGTCGATCTTGGCAAACTTCACACTGGAGTCGAGGATCATCTTTTTCACCTCCCCTTTGGCTAGGTATTGCCGGGTATTCGTGCTGATGTCCGCCAGCCGGTTCCACTCGTTCATACCAAACTCGCCCACGCCAACCTCCACATTAAACCGGTAGTAGTTGTCCTGGGGGACTCCACGCTTGGCAAGCGTGTCTTGCAGCATTTCTTGATGGATAGTCTCACAGCCCTCGATTTTCGAAATCAATCGTCGTCGTGCCTCGGCGAAGGTGCCCGTCGCAGAACCAAAGAAATCCTCCCACCATTCATGCTGTCGGTTGTTAGTGCCGGGAGGGCGTCGCCCAGTTCCAACACTGACGAAAACGCCAACTTCTCGACCAGGCCACTCGTTGGCAACCGCTTCCTCGAGGACCTGTGGTGCCGGATTGTAGGTTCCAGGCCCTTCGTCGATGAACACATGTTGGCCAATCTGGATGGGTTTGAAGGCAAGTCCTGTAGCTGACGTGGCGCGGCCAGCCTGCCAGATGGTACAGTCAAACTCGGGCGGGGGTTCTCGGCGCGAGTCGTAGGAGCGCAGAAGCACAGCTGACCCGTTACGCTGGGTTCCTTTGTATAACGCGGTGACAGCACTGCTCGTTTGTTAGCATTGAACATATCATCCAACGAGACAGGGTGAAAATACTTACGTTTTCGTCCGGAATTCTCGGTTGTCGTAGAGGAGAGCCTCTGGATTCCCCCAGCGCAGGCCATTCAAAAAAGTGGACCCTCTTTGAGTTGACGGACTCTGGGGGTGGGACTTCGCCGACGTGCTAAAACTACCTCGACTGACGGACCTCTGTGGAGCAGAGCCCGGACTCGTATAGGGGAGACTTGTGATCGATGCTCGAGGGTTATTGCTGACGGTCGGTTGGTCATTGCCCTCGGCCTCGAAGACTGTATGTTCGCGCACGCATTCCCGGATCGCCTCTTCGAGTTTCGAGGCCTTGAACAAAGTCGAGCGATAAGGAATACCGGCGATAGTCTTGTCCGTCTCAAAAACCCTCCTTGTCATGCGTACATAAACTTCCTTGCAGGTCTCGAGATCGAGGCGAAGACGGCCCAGCATGATCGCGATCAACCCGCCAGTACCGGTGCCGGCAATCAGATCGAAGTGGTCGCAGGGTTTAGGTATTTGGTCGCGGCGAGGCGGCTTGCCTTCGCACTCGACATACGTCCGATACATGAGTTCCTGAAGAATAATGAGCATGGAGTAACCGCGGACGCCGCCTCCATCTGTCTGGTTGTTAGCGCTTGACTTCGGATGTGTCGGGGGGAAGTTAAATTGAGACGTGCTTACCTAGAGACAGAATCCGTAGCGGCGGACCCTTAGTGGTGTCCTTGCGACGCAGATTGACCTCATCCATGGTGACTGCGGCAGTGATTTGTGAGAGAGACAGTGATTGCTCTGCCTTCTTTTTTTGCTCTGACAGTTACCTCCGGCGGGGCTGAGCAGCGCCTTATGCACCGAAGTGGCGGAAGCACGGGCGTCTGACCGATCGGATCAGACCGTGGAAACAATAGATTTGTTGTTGAAAAAATCACGGGTGGTTCGAATGCGGCGTGGGTCAAAGGTAAGTGACGAGCTGGATGTGAGAGGCGCCGATGTCGTGGACTGCGTCGGATGGACTGGGGGAAACTTTGAATAGGCAGCGGCGTAAGTTCAATTGGCGGCGGGGAGCGGGTTGGGCTGAAGGTTAAGCCACACAATGCAGGGCCTCGGATTCGAGACTCCCAATGTCGCTTTGCTGCTGGCTTGCTGGCTTGGTGGTTGTAGGAGGATGGCTGCAATGCAGCGAGGGTGCATATGCAAAGATTACCCAAGACAGCAATGGTCAGCTGAATGATTCTTGGAAACCACATCCACATCCACTGCTTCCTCCCATGGAACAGTCCCGGGTCATGTGATATGTGGCTATGCAGGCCTGTCATGACGTAATTTGTGGCGGTGCCACTCGGACTGGATGGTGGTTGCAGGGTTCCAGAAAAGCAAAATAATCCCTTAAAAGTTGATAGGATTATCAATCAATTTAAGTATGAGGTGGGAACGGCATGTCCGAGAAACCGCCATGGTCAGATGTGGTCTGCAGTTGAAATTGTCCGAGTTCCCTAGTGGGAGAGACTTTGAGAGAGCATTTCGAGATATAGGATTTAGAGCTTGGGGTTTTTGAATAGAATCAGATTCTCAGAGTCCATTTTCATTAAGAATAATTCTGCATATCTCGGGCATAGCATATTTACGAGGCCTTTGTCCGCAAGCATAAAGAAATCTTATCTTGCCGGGCTTCTCTCTAAATTGCGTATGAATGGATGTGGTTTCTAGGCCTAAGATACCAGGCATTGAATGAATATATATGTCTATCTTTCTTTCAATTGCCTCCTCTCTACTTCTTTTCCCTGCGTAGTGCTCCCAATATTTACCACCACATGGACCCATCATTCTGCTAGGCATCCTACCGATGATATCACTCTCCTCAATCATTGCATATATATCCATCCCCTTTCTGATTTACTCTTCCTCTCGTACATCTTTATCATACAGCCCGTCGCTTGTGCTATTTGCGTCATCGACCTCTTCATAATCTTAGTTCTACTGACTGATCCCTCCTTTCAACTCTCATTTTATGGTATATCAGTCACGAGTCCCGAAAAGACCTCGGTCATTCCAACTATATCCCTACCAAAACACTGTTAAACGGACTGTTCCTCCACGAACCAACTCTGCGTTCACTACAATCAAAGTACTACTACGAAAGTGACGGATTACACCCGAAAGTAATTTTCTGGCTTGCATACCTCATTACAGTTTAGAATTACCGGTCATCATAACTCCTAATAGATAACCGCTGAGGGACTCGAGAGGACCTAGCCTCTTGTTCGCCCTTGCGAATGTCAGTCATACCACGTTTTGTCGCTGAATCGTCACCAAGACGTTGCGAAGGTACTTCGCCGATGTTGATTTCGCGGTCTGTGTAAGATAGATCGTGGATATACGGCATACCGCTCGGTCTGGAGGCATGCTTCCTGGCCACGTCTTCGAAGCCGGCTGTAAATCCAACCTCGCAATGCAATATCTTACTGTGAGTAAATCAACAACAACTGACTGGCTAAAAGCTCTGTTCTTACACTGATCAAGTGATTGGCTATGTTTAGGTATCCCCTGATCTAAACTCGAGCCCCAAATGGATTCGATCTCCCACAACATGGCAAGGAACTTGCCGGAAAGAGTGTGCCAGGAGCGTCCACCATTCGCTCAATGTGGCTTCTTTATACGAAAGCAGCCTCAAAGAGAGCTGGGGAATCACAGGTGGAAATGCCATCGAATGGGCCCTTTTACCAATCAAATACTGTATGAGTGGAAGATTGACGATGAATCTATTCACACCGAGGGTGATCCTGGTTAATTCTAAGAAACGAACTTCCAGGGTAGCTGAAACTGGAGGCGATTTCCTGGAAGTCTACTTCATTGAAAATCCCCATCATCGCTCCCGCTGCGAATTACACAGATTATGGCGCTACGGGGTCTCGGGATCCTCATCGTCATCTAAGGGTGATGGTTGGCATACGGCTTGGCAACCGAAGAGGGAATGAAGCCTAAGAGCAGATGCAGGGACCCGAGATTTGCACTGGGCGTGTTTTATTTACTTGATCAGTATGTGAATAGGAACCTAACTCGAAGCGAGGAGGCCGAAGCACATTGCTGGAATTTGTGATGAGGTCTGAACCTATCTTTTAGAATTACCAACCTGTGACCAGGAGTACTTTGCTTTACCGTGTATATCACCTTTGTAGAGCGTAATGAAATGGTAAGATAGATTGTCGACGAACCTAACATATGATAGGAGGTTGAAGTCAAGGCCGATGGACGTCGTAAGTCCCTTTTACGACGCCGTCACATTTCACTACATACCACTCAAAACGCACTCTGCTTTAGTTCGTCAACCCCGGCCAATCTAGAGTCTCACAGTTAGCACCTAATCAACAAATGAATCAAACCTCCTTGTTTCGGACTCACCAGTAACAGTATACTCCTCCGCTCTCCTCAAAACCTTCACCTCATCACCAACCTTGATGCTTTCTCCAACGCTCTCCCTCCCCAGAAACGAATACCGTCCAAACACCGGACTATACTTCGCCCCCCGATCCACCCTCCGATCTGTCATAAGTTTCTTCAACACGCTCCCACTCTCCCCAGTCCCCATCTTCCCAGTCGCAAAATCCACATTCAAACTCTGACATCGCACACAATTCCCCGTCAACAAAAGCCTCACTCTTGAATCTCCTCCACCAGCGCTAATGCTCTTTCCAACCTCCAGTTCCGCCCAAAGGTCTTCCTCGAACGCCTCTTCTGCTCCAGAAATAACAATATTCGGCCGGAACTTGGTCAAATCAACCTCTTCATCCCCAGCCAGCCGTTCCGAAACGTTCTCCACCGACGTCTGCGAAATAACCAGGAAAGGCGCACAATCCGCAAATCCAATCCTCGCCTCATGTCGTCTCATCACGAACAAATTGACCGCTGTCCACAGGCAAGCCAGCCCCAGAGCTGCGACCCCGATAGCCGCAGCGGGGGCAGTGCCAGCTTCAATCCGTGTATGGCACCAACTCACGGCGTTGAGAACTAAATACCCCAGAGAAAAGGGTACTAGCCACTGATCAAGTATCTTGTTACCATGCCCATTACTGGGTAGCACGAGCTCCTGCTTCCAGATACTCCACCACGACTCTTTGTTGCGCTTGGCCGGGGCCAAAGTACCCAGTACGCCCCGCGTGTTATTCCCAAGATACGCCAGCACAACGGGGTACCCGAAACACGTGCTGAACCACTCATTGTAGCTCGGACCCATATCATAGCCTGTAGTCGGGCTCTGGTGCATCATCACCGTGAAAGGTTTGAGAGTCTTCGTTTCTGGCTCGAGTGGGAGCTCGAGGTGTCGTGCTTTGGGGGTTTCGCTGGGAGTTTCAGCCTCGGCTTTGGCGACATTATTGCTATCACTTGACGAGGGTGGATTATATGTCACAAGCAATTTTCCAGTTTCATTTTCGCTCTTGGGTGACTCAATCGCCGTCTGGAAGAGTCCCATTTCAGGAAACTCAGGGATATGCATATTCTCCAGCGTTGGCGCCTCGCCATTTTCGCCTGGTATGACCTTTAGCAGCATGAAGCGCCGGTCATAGCGGAGACCTAGGCGTGTGAGTTCGCCCTCGGTGACCTTTGTCGGCCGTAGGGATTTGATGGGGTATACATAGAGCTGTTGGTTTTGAGCAGTGTTAATAATCGGCTGGTTGATGATAGCAGGGAGAGTAGGGGGGGGGGGAACATACCTCGCTGATTTTCATTTTTGATGGGATATTTTAACGGGGGACATACATTGGAGTTGCTTCGTCAAATGAATAGGCAACAAGGAAGAAGCAAGGCTGCGAGCCGCAGGTACATATGATGAGGAGCCACAGTCTTTTCTCCGCACTGGTGGAGAGGGTCTTAGCGCTGCGCTTATCGGTTATCGGTTATCGGATCCGAGGGCTAGACGATTTGAGTTCGCCCTGCATATCATTGCATTCCGGGTTTTCCTGCCTTCAAGTTGATATCATGAGTGGTCAATTTGGAATATGCCGGCGACAGCCCTCCAACCCTTCGTTGACACTGGCGGCTATTATCTTGCCAGAATTGCAGCCATGAGATGTTTATTCCGACAAGGTGCTGGGCCTAGAGCATAACCTTGAACTTCGGCTCCCAATGCTAGCATGACAATCTTCTATAGGTAAAAGGTGTTTGCCGAAATCAATGTTAAAAAATCTTTGAATCATATTTCGTGTTGAACCATGGCTTGGGGGAATGTACACAAGTATAAAAAGAAAAAGGAAAAGAGATAGAAAGAAACATGTCTACTGGTCCTTAGCCCAAGGCAGGCTAAACGTGCCCACCCAGTCCTCCACCTCTTGCCGCAACATAACAATCTCGGACACCTCCTCACCCTCACCCAGGTAATCGAAGAAGGCCTTCAGAGTACCGGGGTTCTTAACACCGCGGGCCTGGGCCTGCTCACGCGCAACCTTGTCCAACTTCTGGGTCAGGATCACGACACGGTCAACGATATCGGCGACGCGGCGGAAGTCCTCGGGCTGGAAGCCACGAGAGGTCATGGCGGGGGTACCCAGACGCAGACCGCCGGGCTTGAGGGCGGACTTGTCACCGGGGACGGTGTTCTTGTTGCTAGCGACGCCGCAGAGCTCGAGGACGCGCTCAACGCGGGCACCGTCCACACCGCGGTTCTTCAGGTCCACCAGCACCAGGTGGTTGTCGGTGCCGCCGGACACGATGTTGTAGCCGAGGCCACCGTTGCTGATAGATTCACCCAGACGCTCGGCCAGAGCCTGTGAGTTGGCCAGCACAGTCTTCTGGTACTCGTGGAACTCGGGGGACTGGGCCTGCTTTAGGGCGACGGACAGAGCAGTGATAGTGTGGTTGTGGGGGCCACCCTGGTGGCCAGGGAAGACGGACATGTTGATGGGGTTCTCCAGATCGTACATCTCCTTGTTGCCCTTCTTATCGGTGCGACGCACGCCCTTGCGGTAGAAGATCATAGCACCGCGGGGTCCGCGCAGAGACTTGTGGGTGGTGGTGGTCACGATATCGGAGTAGGGGAAGGGAGAAGGAAGGACATCCGCAGCCACGAGACCAGAAATGTGAGCCATATCGGAGAGCAGGTAGGCGCCGACGGAATCAGCGATCTCGCGCATGCGGGGGTAGTCGATCAGACGGCTGTAGGCTGACGTGCCCGCCACGATCAGCTTGGGACGGTACAGCAGAGCCTGCTTCTCGAGTGCGTCGTAGTCAATCAGGCCGGTGGACTCGTCCAGGCGGTATGGGAGGGTCTCGAAGTACTTGGAGATAGCGGAGATCTTCTTGGTGGGGGTCTGGTAGCCGTGCGACAGATGGCCACCGTGGGGCAGATCCAGACCCATCAGGCGGTCGTGAGTGTTGAGAACGGCGGAGTAAGCCATCAAGTTAGCGGGAGATCCGGACAGAGCTGTGGTTGTGTTAGTGATGCCATATTGCATTATTTGGGGGGTTATTGTGGCATCATACGCTGAACGTTCACACCCCACTCCTCAGGGTTGAGACGGAAGGTCTCCAGAGCGCGCTGCTGGCACAGGCGCTCAGAGGCATCAATGTACTCGTTTCCTCCATAGTAACGGGCGCCGGGGTATCCCTCAGAATACTTGTCTGTATACGCGGTTAGACTCCCGAGGCTGGGTACCGCGGAGGTCGAGCGGGGAAGGAAGAGCCAGGGCACATACTCTGCATCACACTGCCTAGCGCATCGAGGACAGACTGCGAGGTGAAGTTCTCGGAGGGGATCAGGTTAATGAAGTGCTTCTGGCGGTTTTTCTCCTGGAATTGGTCTCAGCGGGTTGTCCCTGTAGCATGCTCCGAATTCACATGATAACGGTACCTTCTCGAGAATGTTGAAGACAGTCGGGTCGGAGTCCTTCAAGGACGCAGCCAGGAGCTGAAGATCATGTTAGCAGAGCCATTACAAATCGGCAATGACCCATTGGGACTGTAATGATGCTCTCACCTTCTGCTGCGCATCTCGGCTCGACGACGATACTCCCCGCACGGAGATGGCGCGGGCCACGAGAGGACGAGTGGACACGGATGCAGGCGTGCGGAGGGCCCCCAGGGAGACGCGGGCGAGGCGCCCACAACGAGAGAGAGACATCTTGAACAAGGACCGAAAAAGCACACAAAATACCCAAGGGCCAGTCGCTCGGATAGGGAAGGCTTTTCTTTATAAAAGCGCGATCTCGCAATGGGGACTGGGACTCCGGCGGTGGCAGCTGGTTGCTTCTCCGTTGCCCGCGGAAAGCGGGAAATCGGCACTATTCCCAAACGGGCTCACCGCCTGGTCCGTGCTCCCGCGGCTTGTTTTTTTTTCATCTTCGCACTTTCCCCTTCTTTTCTTCTTCACACAACTAAATCCAAGATGAAGAGATGGCGTTCTGTCTGTGTCAGCACTCGTCGGTGATGGCCTGGCTTCGTGCTGGGCTGTCGCTGGACGGGCGCTGCTGAGAAGGTCCCGCGCCCATTCACCATCCAATAGGGATCAGTTTACCATCGGATTGGACGCGTTGTGTACGGTTGTGAGCTCGAGTCTCCAGCTGGTTGGGAACAAAATGGAGGCATGTGGCATACCAGCTGTATGATGGGAGGGGGCCGCGCTAGGATCGACTGGACGATCAAGGCTGGCTGGACTTACGCAGCTGCTCCTTGTTAGCATGTCTCCGGGGTTGAGTCTCCCGGTCGCAGTGCTCTGAATCGGCTTGATTTGTGTCATTCATCGTTCGGAGACCCTGTTCACACCAGATTTACTATGTATTTCAAATCTAAGATAGTTCCTAATCTAAAGCAATCTCTTCGAGTGTTCTATAACCCATATCAAATCAGTCCTACGTCTCTTGATTCCAACCATCTCTAGGTCAATCATAGGCACCTGTCGGGGGCTCACAGGCTCGCCAATCGGTCCATATCTTCGAAGTCTTTTGAAATCTTTGGGGTATCGCCCGTCGGCCAAGGCGGCCCGTTCCCCTATCTCGGGAATACAGCGATGATTATCGTTCTCGGACCGCTTCTTTAAATCCAAGCTTAATTTTGATATAAAAACACCGCGGCCGATACAGGAACCTTATGCTTGCCTTTGTTCTCAATATTCTTGCTTCAAATCATATAGAGCTTCCTAATTACCCGACTTCTTTGACTAGGATAATCCATAGAAGAACTTTACCAGCGATCACGACCAACCCGAGGTTGACCACCTTCTTTCTCTTTCAACTTGCATAGTGAGCGCCTAGTACAGGACAACCTCGATCAACCAGCCCGCCATAACGCGTTTCCAGTCCCCATCTCCATACCTGGGAATCTCAATCAGACATAGGGAATGAAGGCGATCGCATAGACATCCTCCCGTCCCGCGCCACCTTACAAAGATCACCAAAAATTCCTGTCTGTTCCACAAGAAGATTATCAACTTGCTTAAACTGCATTGTTAGAGATACGCAACTGATACAGCAGTCGTGTCTTACGCATCCTCCAGAAGCAAGGAGTAGATGATCGTCATCGTAAAATTAAGCGGCTCCGTCGATCATAGATCTGATGACGCCAACCCATCCACATATTCAGGATTCTCCAGCGATCTCATTCGAATGTTTCTTTGGGGATTACATCCTCCGGTATTTGTGTGTTACTCTCCAGGCGTGGTGTACGCGATATGATGTCGTGGATCGTAGGTGTGGTATCTGCATGGGCCATAGGGATGGCCGATGGCCATTTCCGAATGCAGCCGGTTTCGTAAGGCGCACGCAATGTCCACCTCATTTATCAGAGCTTTCCTGCTTCACGCAGATGAAGAAATTCAGCTTTCCGTGTCGATTTCTTTTTCGTTAGAATTGTCCGCATTATTTATCGACATCTGGTCGGTCGATTTGAATCATGGGCGCCGATGAAACTGAGGCTTCCTTTGATGCCACGGCGTCGGAGTCGGGTGCTGTCGTCAACCATGAGGGAAAGAAGCCATTGAAGAAGAGTAAATTGCTTTTGGCAGTTTTGTACTTTGGTATGCGATTCGTGAGGCCAGCACAAGCTTTGACTTCCGCCAGTTTTCGAGATTTGAGGATATACTAATGAAGCTCTTATCCCGCACAGGCACATTTCTCGGTATTTCTGATGAGTTCTTCGTTCTCACCACGTCCCGTCAAATCGCGGAATCTTTCCACAAAGGTTCATCTGGATCATGGCTGTTCGTCGGGTACAATCTTGGCTATTCTATGGCACTCCCCATATACGGCCGATTATATGAGGTTCTCGGCCAACGGAAGACTTTCCTACTTGCTTATGCCTTTTACGGCCTGGGATGCATTGTATCGTATGCAAATGAGTTCTCCCATTACCTAGCCGGTCAATATCTAATGAGAACAGAGGTACTCCGCATGAATTCTATGCGATCGTCGCCGGCAGGTTCCTAGTGGGCGCAGGCGCTTCGGGGATGCTGGACCTGGCTTCGGTGGCACTCAATGGTATCCTTCTTCCCTTCTATTTACAGACTCTTGATCTGACTTTCTTCATTCATGGTAGATATTGCGACTGTACGTGAAGTTGCCGTTTTCAGAAGTCACCTCATGGTTGTGATGTTGGTAGGCGCTGTCAGTGGAGGTCCACTAGGTGCAATTCTCGCCGGAACAATTGGATGGAGATGGTTAGTCGGAACCCTCGATCGAAGATGGTGAAACGTAAATACTGATCATTTTGTCTCGGTCCAGGTCGTTTCTTGTACACATTCCTTTCGTGGCAGTTTGCGCTATTATCGTTTTCTTCAAACTGGGACCGAAGAACAACCAACCTGTAATCGAAACTTCAAGCGACGAGGAAAGCAACATTGAGAAGACAGAGGAGATGCCCGAGGCTCCCCGTCCACCCCTTGACATCCTAGGGATTATCACGCTTAGCTGCGCCATTCTCTGCTTCGTCATCCTCGTTGAGATGCTCGAAGATCTTGACACCGTGAAGAGGCACATTGGCCTTATCGTCGGACTTGGGGTTGGATTCATCGTCTTTACTGCGACCTTTATTTTCATTGAGGTGTTCTGGGCGAAGAACCCAGTGATCCCACTACATCTCCTTAAAACCACACAGGTTGGACTCATTTGGGGTACTACCTTTTTCATGCAGATGGGGAATTACAGTGTATGCCCCCGATTCTCGTCAATCCTTGCTTTGAATAAGGGTCCGGTGAAGCTGATTTCTCGTATAGTTTGTTGCAAGCATTGCCCCGTACTTTGCTCGAATGCATGGCCTGACCACGATCGAGACTGGGCTATGCCTTGGACCCGCTGCAGTCGGTGCTGCGATCGGAAGTGTATTGACAGGCATGCTTGTGAAAAAGTATGTTTGATGACATTAGCTGTGATGAGTACCTCTACAGCTATTATCCATATTTCTTCTCCTATTCTTACTGATGATATCCCCACAGGAGCGGAAAACACAGAGTCTGGGCAATAGTCGGACTCAGTACGGCGCTCATGAGCTTCACATTAATCCTCCCCCGATGGTCTCTATTCGAACAAAAAATGTGGGAGTTGTTCTACTCGTTCTTCTTTTCGTGGGGACTGGGGATGACCCTCTCCGCTCAATTCGTAGGCTTGAGTGCTAGCACCCCAGAACAATATGCGGCTACCTCCATCACATCTTACTATCTCTTCCAACAAGCTGGAACCATGATTGGAATCACGATGACTACAGTTCTCCAACACCTTGTCTTTAAGGAGAAACTCGAGGCAACGATTGGGGACAGCCCCGAGAGTCTTAAGGTGAGAAATGTGTATAGTTTCTGAGTGAGGTTACTGCGTCACTGACTCAAATTTCAGAAAATTGAGCACATTCTTGAAAGTGTCGAATACTCGCAGTCGCTTCCCGAACCGCTGCGTAAAACCGTCAATGTACTTTTCAGAGAAAGTTATATGGTGCTGCTCCGTAAGTCGCCATTCCAAGAATCCATATTTCGAGCGCGCTAACAGGACTGCTCCAGTGTTTGTCATTGCCACCGTGGCATTATCACTTCTATTGGTATTGAGACAAAAGAACATCGCGATTTAAAATGTCCACGCTTATCTTGATCGAGTCCGGAAACAAGTTCTTGATAATTTTGGACTTGACCGTGGATAAGCCAAAATAGACGAAACATGATGAAATGTAAATAGATCTTGCATAATCAAAACACTGGCCATGACGATGAGCGTGTATCAAAACAGCTGTGCGGTTAAGGTCTTACATTCGAAACTGACGGTCACTCGTTTAGGGGAACTGATACCGCACTGTATGCCGCTCATGTAACGAATGACAGAGGACACTATCGTATAGCATCATGCAAGATGTGCCTAGAATAAGATGATGCAGCTAGCCAGTGAGTGGGAAGACTTGGAAGCAGCCATGTAGATATAGGTCATAGAGAAATGTTGCCCTCATGCATCATGGCTCTCAACAACCCCATCATCGTACCAGCCCACCTATGATGGCAAGATATATGAGCGCGACTACTGTTGAGTTATACGCGAGGCCAATAATCTCCAACACTGATATCGAGCAAGTTTCAACTATCCACAGGCCAGACCTCCACAAAACTCTGAACTGTCTAAAATTGCTACCCCTGTGAATTGAACACCCAACTTTCTCGTTCCCTATATACCTCACAGTGGTGTTCCATCGCTATCCCACGATGCCGAGGTACATCATCCAGAGTCAGCCCCGATACCACACCCACTAAACAGTATCCCTCTTATCCTCTAAGAAATAGAATAATTATAAATTTAGAGTTGTAGAAGCTCTTTAATATAAGAAAGATGATTTATTAAAAAAAAATAAAAAAAGATCTTTATCCGCGAAGTGGTGCTATCACCACCTCGCATGCCCACCCGCCCACTCTCCCCGCCGAGGGATGTGCCCGACCATCCGTGGAGTTATACTCGACACTGAAGGCCTGTACCCATCACATGTTTCCCCTTTTCAGGGCACACCCAAAGGTCAATCCCTGACGGGAGACCACTAGGCCATATGAGGGGGAGAGTGACTAGAAAACCTATTACGGGGGTATAACCCATGAAAATGGTTGTTGACCTTCCTTTTCTAGCCGTGATGGCACGCCAAAGCCTATACTATATCCATGAACATCCTCGACTGCGAACCCTTTGACTGCGATTTCTGCCACTCAGGTGCCTTGGGCTAGAAATACATGAGCATATATGATTCTCAGATATTATACAGTACTCATTAAGCCGATCTGTACTGCTGTAGATCTGGATACCTGAATAGCTAATTGTTATCGCTTTGCAGTTCCACTCGACTCGTCCGTCAAAAATCTTCCCCGCGAAACCTCAAGGTCCTACTACACCCCTATTCTTACCCTCCATTCTTCATCTCCGTAGCCTCTCCTCCTCTAAAATTTCGGCTATACCCCATTCTAAACTCCCCTACAAAGCTTCTTCCCCAAGTTTAACTCCACACCACGAAAACCCGTCCATCCACCATGTCATACTCCTGCGCAGCCTGCGATGACAGCTTCTTCTACCAAGACTCCTGCGACGAGCAGATGGACGACTACAACCACTGGTCCGAATACGAAACCTGCCCTCGCAGATTCTGATCCAACCGCGCCGCCTCCCAACACATGAATAATCTCAACCACTGGACACCAACCTTCGACTGCGAGACCTGCAACCGCCAATTCGGTTCCCAAAACACGGCTAATCAGCACATGAACGCTCCGGGCCATTGGGCACCGCGTATGGAGTGCGAGACATGCAGTGATACCATTCGCAGTCGGAGTGCTGCAGATCAACAGGGTCATTATAAGAATTATTGCAAGCCGTGTGGTCGGCGCTATAGTAATGAGAATGTTTTTCGGGCGGTATGCTAATATCCTCCACACCTAACCCACACCCCAGACCCCGTTGATACCAGCCAGACTAGACAGGGCATGATCAATTAACTAACCACCCCTCTTTTCCCTCAATAATATCTCAACTCCAAACTCCACCGCGGCACCCAAGTCCCCTGCGCCTTCTGCCCGCACCCTCTTCGTCTCCGCCAGCTGCCTCTCGCACCACCTCGAAACATCCTCCTGCCCCAAAGCCCAATCCCTCAACCGCACCACCATAGCCCAAATAATCCACCGCGCCGACCCACACGGCATAATCACAAACAAACAAATCACCTGGCCCGAGCCCTCGCACCCTCTCTCGCACAGCCAACCCGAGTACACCGCGACGCGGGCTGCATACAACGGCCGCGCATGGGAATGCTACATCTGCCATCGGCAGTTCGTTACAGCGGGGTCGCTGAATCAGCATTGCGAATTCGCCGGTGCATCAGCAGAGTGTTTCTCATTGTCCGAATGGCGGGTCGAGTTGTGGGAAGCAGTTTGTTGCGTTGGCGGGGCTGTTTAAGCATCTTGAGAGTGAGGCGTGTGGGTTTATGAGGTTTGAGAGGGTGCTGGGGGTGCAGAGGGAGTTGACGGAGGTGATGTCTGGGAGGAGGATGATTGCGGGGGTGTTTTGAGTGGGAGAGTATAGATGGATAGATAGATAGATAGATGGATAGGTGCTGGGGTTTGCATATCTGTTTATATTGGGGAGGGAGAAGGTGAGTACAAGGACCTCAATAATCGTAGACAGAGCCAAGTTTGTTCGGGGTATATAACTAACTTGCGAGACATGTAGAGAGAAGAAAGGGAGACAGGTCTGATCAGCCATGAATGGGTATGATGATGATAGCTTCATAAACCTATCTACATCCATTCATTTATGGACGATGGTAGGTACACATTATCGACTGAATACGGGTCTCCCGTTTTGCAATCGGTTGGAGATTGCTGGCCGCTTCCCTGGATCCGAGTAGGTTTTGACAAGCGTAGGTCTATCCAATCCATTGGCGGGAAGATGGGTGACTAGAAAAGTCTGGAGATAGGAAAAGTAACTTGTGAGGATGTGCTCTAAATACCTCGACAGATCAAGACTTGAATACTCATCAAGCTAGCTAGCTAGCTACATCTACCGACTACGACTACTCAGCCCTATACTCTCCATCGAACAGAAGGGTTAAGATATAGAACAAGTCATTCAGAATCAAAGAAATAGCAGCAGTATGTCCATGAGAATCTCGCACAAGAAATCAGGAATCAACATCAAGATCCAGATCAACGTCACAGTCCGGGTTAAAGAAAGACATAAATGACCCAATCGGATCGATTATGTATTATCTAATTAGACATAGACGAAAGACATGTACATTCAAGAAAGGGGTAATCGAAGAAAAAGAGAGAGAAAAAAATAGCTCTGTAAACCCCAGCAGAAAAGAAAACAAATAAAGCCCATACCCCGAGGTTTTCCCAACAAAAACGCCTGGCTTGGGATGTTGGCACCCACCACCAACTAACCAAACCCAGTCCACACAGCAGAAGCCTTGGATTAGTTGGGCTGGGACCTACAACCCATCACCATGCATACGAATCCCGTAACCACGTCACCGCTGTCAGCAAGCGCAAAGCTCACATTTACAGCAGGAGGGCAACGACACCGAAGACGGCGGCCAGACCGGCACCAGCGCCGGTAGCGGCGTTGATGGCACCAGCGTTGAAGGCAGGCTGGGAAGCAGCGGGGGTGGAAACAGTGGTGCCGGTGGCAGCAACGCTGGAGGGGACCAGGGGGTGGAGGTGACAGAAGAGACAGGGGTGGAAGCAACCGGGGTGGAAGAGCTGGGAGGTGTTAGAAATTGATTCGAGATTGAGGTTGGAGGGGGAGAGGGTGTTGGTGCTTACCACTTGTTGCACTGGGTCACGGTCTGGGTGATCAGAGGGCGGGTGACGAGGAAGGAGCCGGTCATGGTCAAGTGGCCGGGCTGTGAGGATTGTTAGTGTGCGCTCGACATATGGAGATGATGGGGGATCGGGGGTGGGTGTGTGGAGGGTGTGGTATCAGATGGAATGTGGAGAGTCGAGTCGAGGTGAGATTGATCTGCCTTTGATCGCGACTCGGTTCGATCCGTCCCATCTGGATATCCTACATCCACCAACCACACAACAAGGGGGGGAAACACGCACAGTAGAGATGCTGTAGGTGGAACCACCGTGAACGATGGAGGTAGCCTCAGGGCAGTAAGTGGTGTAGCTAGTGAGGGTCTCAGTGACAGCGTCGGAGGCAACAGCACCGGCAGCCAGGGCGGCAACAGCAGCGGCGAAGGAGAAGCGCATTTTGACTGGAATGTGGGTTGATTCGAGGAATGTTCCTGAAGAGTAGAAGGGCGAAAGTCTGTAAGAGACTTGGAAGAGGGTGATCCGACGGTCTGGAAAAGAGAGTGGGAGGTTTCTGAAAAGAATGTACTCGGAGTCGATGAAGACTGAACCGGGGGGTGTGTGGTAAGAGAACGTGTGGATGGAGAAAGAGAGGGGGGGAAAGAGTGAGATTTGGGGGTGAGAAGTGTTTATAGGGGCAGAGTGGCAGAGAGCCGTGCCGTGGGTCGACTTTCAGGTACCCGAGAAAAAGGGGGGTCTCAACAGGGAGGGTGGAGATTGGACATGGGTGGTGGAAGGCAATGGGAAATTGCATTTTGCAGGGAGAGTGGAGGGATACAGAGAATCTAGACCAATGAAATAGAGCAAGTTACCTGTTTTGGCTTGGTCTGTCGTGGCATTACTCTCTTCATCTCGCGTTATGCCCACGTCCCCGCAGGAACCCGTTGGTGGGCTTGGCCCGCGCCTGCGGATCGTTGCCCGATTCTGATTCTGATTCGCAGAGTCTAGGCCAGCATCAGCAAGGTACACTCAGGATGAGAAACAGAGACTTCATGATCGCCTGATGATGTTCCTAGATCGACATCTATGTATAGAAACCATAAATAAACAATGGAACCGTCTTCCCTACTATATCCCGAGGATTGAAATTGAGCTCTTCGAGTCAGTCTGCAGTGTGTAGCCGTCTCCTTTGATCCTTTGACTGATGGGGCCAGCAGTGAGCACCATCTCGATCGGGCACTGGAACGGGTCCCAATGGGTCCGGTCCCGCGGGGGCTGTCTTTTCCGCTCCTTGTTTTTCTCCACGTGAGAACCACTCCACCATTGGCTGGACAAGATCCATGGCTCCATTGGCAATCGACCAAATTGGAACAGGAGCGGTGTGGGGGTTCTGAGTCTGACAGCAAGGGAGGGACTCCCCCAGATTGAAATCACATCATGATGCAATCGTATATGATGAGAGACAATCATGAAGAACTTGGAGATATCGGAGATCAGCTCCACATTGAAATGCTGTTCTATACCGATCCTGGTTAAAGCTGGGAGAATGTCAAGAAGAATAAGATCGAGGGGCGTGACCAGCCACGTGTGGACCGCAAAGTAACTACACCAGGCAACAGACCCGACTCCTCTATAGATTTCTCCATCAACAACAACAATAACACACACAACTACTGTATCTACATACATCTCACTCTCCCTCACCCCATGGCAACAACCTTCCCCCTCTTCCCCTCCTCCCCCAGAACTCCGCCTCCGCATCTGGCACATCGCCCTAACAACCCCCTGGACCTGCACAACCCGCGCCCTCCTCCGCTCCAACCAAGAAAAAACAATCGGCACACACCCCACAAACCCCATCAGCCACGCCTGCCCCGAAGCCCGGCACCTCCAAACGCAAAGCTTCACCCAAATAGACCACCTCGGCTGGTTCCATTTCCCCAAACACCTCCTCTTCATCCGCGACCTGACCGTGCGGGGAGTCAACCGCGCAAGACGAGTCAAAACCAACCACGCCCTGACACATAATCTGCAGCATGTCGTGCTGAATGTGTGCAGTCAGCAGAAGCTGTACGCTTCGCTCGAGTATATGGGTAAGGCGTACACGTCGCTGAAAAGTATCGTTGTCGTCGGCCCGTGGTTTTTGCCCGAGGATACGGAGGCGTATGACTCTGTTCGCGACTGGATCGCTCCGTATGAAGACTGGGGTGAGGTGTTTGCGAGGTCACCCACCGAGTTAGATCTGGCGGTGCTGGTAGATGCGATTGAGGGGGGGTGAGAGGGGTGGTGAGGCTCGTCTGGCGCATGGTTTGTCTGTTGGTGAGTACAAGGCTCGTCTGGATAAAGCTGTGAGACGGTTGCCGGAGCTGTTGCCAGATGGGCTGAGACTATTTGATAATGTGTATTGGCGGACAAGGAGAATGTTGGCCAAGGTGGAGGCTATGATCCAGGGGTTTGACGAGGTCCCGAGATTATACTTGCAGACTGTTGAGCAGCTTCGTGGTCCGAAGGGTGTGGGTAATGTTCGAAAGCGAAAGTCGTCCAACCGATAAGACGGAAGAGAACCTGGAGGAAGAGAGATACAGGCCAGATCACAATGTAACTCGGTGAAGGAAGATGGATTCTATGATTGGATTGGGTATATCGTCGACATCGTAGCATACCCACGCACACGACCAGCATGAGTGTGACATGACTGCTCACATGAAAGAAGAAAACCACGATCACGACCACGACCACGGGCACTCATCCCACCACCCCGAAGCATAAGCCTGCGATGACAGAAACTCTACCGCGACGACCCCGACCCATGATGCTTAACACACAAACTCGCCAAAAAAAGCCCCGAGACCGACCCCGCCAACACCACAAATAGCGCCTGCGGAAACACACCAATCGTCACACTATACGTCGCATTCAACGCCGTCGGAATCGTAATCCTCCCAATCGCATGCAAAAAGCTCAACATCCCCAACAACTGCCCGGAATGCTCACTCGGCACATGCGCCGTCAAACTCGACGTCAACAACGGCGTAACCGGATTCCCGCACGCAAAGATCAACGACGAGAAAATAAACCACGCCGGGGACCGAGTTACCGCTACGCCCGCGTAGCCCAAAATCTGGAGTATCAGACTGGTTCGAATAGCGCCTAGTTCGCCCGTGTTAAACACAGTTGAGTGTGTTCGATTTCGCTTTCGGCGGATGTGCCGTCGCACGATGGTCATTATCACCGGGAAAAGAACAACGAGCACCAGGATACTCCATGTATTGACGAGTGCCATGTAGAAGCTCTGCGTCGTGGGGTGCCAGTGGAATAGGTATGATGAATACGCCATCTGCAGCGGGGGGAGACACGTCATAACGGCGAAGACGAACTGCTCGATAACGGCCAGAATGGCCAAATTCGCACGGCGGTTCGCACTGCTCTCCCAAAGCGATTTGCACGAGGAGTATACCTGTTGCAGTGGATTTTCGCGCAGCGTGGTATCAAGGTTTATTCCCCTGTCGTCAGTGGCTGAGCGCGCCCAGCGCGACTCGGGCAGGACGAATAGGAAGAGCAGTGTGAGGAGGAGGTACGAGGCGAAGGATATCCAGTATATGCCTTCGAAGGAGTTGATCGATGCGATGAGGATACCCGCGATCAAGGGACCGGCCGCCTGCGCGAGCGATGTACATGCCTGGATGTAGCTGAACAGCGTGGCGCGCTCGCGCGGACTGGACAGATCTGTAATGTAAGCCTGCGACGCCGCGATGGCGGTGATATACGTCCCGCCCAATCCCTCGATCGCGTAACCGACGAGTATCCAGCGGACGTCGATTGCATCGGGATACCGTAGGATGAGCAGCATGACTGCGTTATAAAGAAGGATGCCCGTTGTGCTGAGTGCTAGGATAGGTTTCCGGCCTATCCGATCAGAGAGGGAGCCTAGGATCGGCGCTGTGATGGCTGAGAGGATTCCGGCTGTGAATTGGCAGTAGACGATTAGTCGGGAGACGTCTGCTTGGGCGTTTTTGTCGCCCAGGCAAAGCTCGAGTTCTTCCATGAGGGTGAGTTTTCCGAGTGACTGGCCGGGTTGGGACGTGCTGGGTGCGTATCGCTGGTGGCAGACTAGGGCGAGGTTGGCGTTGAATTCGGGGACGACGAAGGTGCCGCCGCTCATGGCGAACATGCCCCAGAGGAGGATGGCCCATGCTGGCTTGATATGAGAATGGTGTTAGTTTAGTAGTTATCGCGATGGGAGTATGGTTGTGAGCTTGGAGAATCAATCCCTCGTTTCTCATAGCTCCGGTCAAACGCGGTGGATCAGACCGCCGCAGAGTTGAGTCGAGCATAGTCGTGTACAAGAACAGCAGGAAAAATGAACCAGGTAAGCCCTACCGAAGGATCGCGAAACGACTTCACCTTCCGAGTCGTGTGGTCATCGCTGCACTGGTCCTCCTCCGATAGCAACGGACGCTCCTCGGTCTCTAATCGGTCATGCTGCATGGTCTCGGGCTGGCGCGCAGAGCGAGTGAGATTCCGCGGGGCCATTAAAGGCACCTATTATACGCATATATACGCACGGTCGGGATATTCAAATCGCGGCCACAGGACAAAGGGGAAGAAAGGGACGCGAATCCCAGGGAGATAAAAGGGTTAAGTATGGACACGAAGGTCAACCTGCATTACCAGTCATTACCCAGTGATGGAGAGCTCCAAGGCTCAAACCATTCATTATGATTGAATGGCCTAGTCCAGGACTAGGACGAGGACAGAACCGTTGGAATGCACGCGACGTGTCCGCCTGCAGAGTACCCGCCCGTAGAACTGCAGGTCATGTTGCACAGGCAAAGAGGGACGAGGAGTACACTAGCGGTCAGGATTGTGCAGTCGCAGACTCGCAACGGGGATAACCCTGCAAGTGGTAGGGTCGAGCGTTGGAAACAAAGGGCCTGAACAACCGTTGCGTTCTGAAAATAATCGGAGATCTGAAGTGGAGGAGATCTGGTGGTGCTTTTCGCAGACGCGGATTGGAGGGAGTTGGACCAGACTAAACCACGTTCCGAGCCTAGTCCGCTCGTGCAGATGTGGTATTGGTAGGGATCTTCATGCCAGGTTTTGTTTTGTGTGACTTTATCGCTTGGATGATGCTATCATTCATGACTTCTTCAGGGGTGGCTGGCTGGGCGAGGGTTGAGAAATGCTAAATTAAGAAGTGGAGGGGTTGAGCCGCAAAAGCAATTATGGCGCCTTGGACGTACCACATGGACGAGCAGATGCCATGTGGCCGGTGTTTCATCATCGCAGAGGTATTAACCTCGCTATTGCGATGTGATCATGAATCAGTGAGGGGACTGTATAGAGCTTGGATATCGCTGGTAGCAGCTGATGTACACCCACACAGGTTCGTAAGTATGGACTTGACAGAGCTCAGCACATGACCGGCCAGACGGTAGACCTCTTCTTTACTAGGAGTACATACTTCTCTTGACCCCGACCAGAGCTCCCATCAGGCCTTTTTGGATTTGTTGCAGGATTTCTATGATTACTACGAAGTCAAGTATATTCCAGCCTGGGCTGTCTACAAGCAGTCTGGGTGAAATTTACCGACGGGCCAATTCGAACGAGAATTTTGTGTTGTCATTGAACGGAGGGCTGCATTGTACCTAACAATGCAGAATGTGATAAAGAAACATGTATGCAACGCACGAGGCAAAACTCCAAGCCAGGCACAAAGCAGAACTCAAAAAAACATCAACTCCATGCAATCATCAACAAAGCAGCCAAAGCAAACTCGAAAGATATACCAGGAAAGAAAATTGCAAACGCAAAGTTGCAAAAAAGGATAATACATACCTTGAGTAGACCAGGAAGAAGAAAAATAGGAGAAAATTTATACTAACCTTCAACAGCTCCAGGTACAATCTCAAAGTGAAAATGAGCAGTGAGTCCATCCCAATTACTCACAGTATTAATGCGAGAAATCTTCTTTGTACCGCGAGGAAACCCTCCCAGGGCCATACTAGCAACCATTTTGCCAACCGGTGTACCTAGCAAAGTATCATACTCAGGGGTACCGTGCTCCCAAGTCCGCCACCAGTCATCCGACCAATAAACATTGCTATGAACCTGGGTCGAAAGACAACTGAGGGTTTCCTCATTAACAACACTGGTGATAATAACATGTCGAAGTGTATCAAGCAGATAATCCGATCCATAAACTGCCAAAGAGACCTCAGACACATATGGCATTCGTGCATCACTTCGGTGCATTTCTTCAATAATAAGCACCCGTGGCCCAACAAATGCACGCCATGACATCATAAGGAAGGAGTTGAACTCGTAGCTTCGATACGCAGATTGGTCGTGAGGAAAGGTTGCGGGAATGAGCTGGAGGGCTTGGAAGAGATTGATGAGATCAGGATTTGCCGGGGTCTCTTGCCATATCTCCACATTAAACTGTTGTCCGAGGCCGAGTATCGTTAGTTGATTTGGTTGAACTGGACAGTTGGGCTTACTTGGATTGGAGATCCATCGACGGTAATGGCCTCCTAGTTCTTGGCGTTCACCGTAGTTTATAACCTGTCCAGCTGGTGCTTCTGCAGGGGGGCCAGTTGAACCGGAGGAAGAAGCCGGCCCGCCAACGCTTTTGGGGATCCACCAATGGTTAGGCATTTTCAGACAGAGATAGCTGATGCGAAATGTATATGTATTATAGACAGTAGAATGGATGGGAATTGCGGAATGCAGATGTGATGGGTGATGATCAACGAGTCCATATGGTAGCATTACAGCGAGTTTATATGTCAGGGCTCTCAATATGGTAGCCATTGGTTTTCTACTCGATATTGAATGTGCTCGTTTCACTATCCAAGCTAAATCATTGTTATAGACCCTGGCTGCACAACGGAAATGGAATAAAAATACAGGAATAGAGGTATGAGTAAAGAAATCTGAAACGATAGAAACTTGAATAATACAAAGACTTCCAAAGAGATAATAGCATCTAATTCGGGAAGAAAGAACTCCTCGGACAAGAAATAATGTCATGAATCCTCCTCTCGAGAACTTATTTTAGCTCCACATTATACGCCACAGGGGTTTCAAAGAAAAGACACCCACGGCCAGAGTTTGTGAATATATCGAGAGTTAAAGGTGTCTGAATGTGCAATTTCCATGGTACTGTGGTACCATTATTCCAAGTCTGAGTCTAGTAGGAGTAGACTGAGCCGTCCTGCTGTCATACCCCAGAAGGGAATCGAGAGTTCCAAAATAGACATGAGCCTGTGCAATATTACGGAAGTATGAAAATCACAGTAAAAGAGAAAAAGGGTTGAAGTTTAGAAAGAGGTGGCCAAATATAAAGTAAACAAAGCGACAAAGACCATTGGGTTATTCCCTTGTTGCCCATTGCCAACTACCTGGACATCCTCTTTGTTGCGGCCACGCTCAACCAGAGCCGCAAAGACCCGAAAGCGTGAAATTCGATTCCCCCACAAAAATTGAAATCTATTGATTCTTTGCAAATTGAAACCAGGGATGAATCATGACTGAGCTTGAGTAGTAGTTGAAAAGGCGTATCTCGTTATCAATCAGGAAGGAACGTATCAAGCTACCTCTTTTACGTAGTTTCATCTTATCAAGGGCCTCCTCATACGAGATTTTTAAAACTTCATACTTCTCTTTTTAAGAAACATGATTATCTCTTAATTAACTAGCAATGACTACCTCTGACCAAAGCTAAATGTAAAGCCTTATGGCAATGAATCGCTATAGTTCGCCTTCACTAGATTTGAAAGGGTGGTCAGTTATTTACTACTGACTAACCTCTAAGATCGAAATCTACCGGTCCCGTACATGCTGTTATTATTACCCTTTCCCATCTTCAATTTCAACAATTCCGACTGGTGGGTAAAGATCTCAGGCATGAACATTATTGAATGGTGCGCACTTTACCCCTTCACCTTGCAGGATATGCTAGAATGATGTTGCCTCTCTAATGCCAAGTCCTTGAAATGCAATATCATTGCACCGATTCAAAACATCCAAGACTTCCTCCTTTCCATGCCAGGCATCATTGTACGCTGCACTGAGAGTCAACCTTCCTTTCCATGTATCCAGGAACATCCCAAGTCCAGTTCCTAGCTCCTCACCGGTAACCCAAGGATTGTCGACGCTGAAACTTCCGTAATTATGGCGAATTACCTTGTCCAGCACGCCCATACTGGAAATGGACGCCGAAGGAGTCTCATTCCGTGCTGGAATTGCGGGAGGATCGGGCCCAGGATACGGGAAGATGGACATCGCCCAGAAGGCTGGAATGAACTTCATATAATCTTTATTGTCGCGAACATCCAGATAGTAGTCGCGAATATGTTCAGCAATGGGGAGGAATTCTTCTTCGTCGGTTGGAGTAGCGTTGGAGCTCCCTAATTCGGGGACAGTGAGGTCGACGGTAAAACGTCGACCGGAGACGGAGTGATACACTGATGCGGGATGAATTGCTGTGCTGTACGGGGGCTTGCAGCGATGGCGCTCGTTGACCAGGCAGTAGCTGATGTATCGTACCATGCGCTTGCTTTCCTTGCGTTCCTGGAGGTCCCTAACAGCCAGCGCAATTGCGGCATGGTATGCATGTGTAACACTGAGCCTGAGACTGCGACATTTCTCCAACAGTGTCGCTGTTTTATCCTCAGATAAAGTAACTGCAACACGTTGGTGTTTTCCAGGGAGGGCGATTTGTCGCTGGAATGGTGGGCTTGCTGTTTGAATGCCTTCCTTTAATGAAGCGTTGTGTTCAAGAATTCCGCGCATCTGTTGCTCATGCTCTGGCGAGAGGGCAGCCGGTATCCCGGCTGCTACCTTGAGGGGAGGGCTAAGGTTTGACCACTCCTCGCCAAATTGAGGTAATTCATAGTCGGTTTGCTCGTATGCAGCGGCAGCAAGAGAGAAAATATTGTTAAAGAGAAGCAAGGTACCCATGCCGTCAATGATGTCGTGACGCGCACGGAGGACAAGATCAGCGCGAAAGACCTGGTCATTCAATGCTGGGGGTTTGACGAGGAACAGCGTCGGTAGAGCAGGTACTGGGGGATCCAAGTTACACCAGTCAAGCCCCGACATTCTCTCTGATACGACACAGAACGTATCATCCAGCCATTGACGCTGGGACGTGCTATCGGTGAAGGTCTCGTACGTCTTCTTGTACTTTTGCTGGGCCGGGTCATATTGAACCTTAGAGGCAATGGTCGGGTGGTCGAAACGAAGACGAATCCAGGCATTTTTCAGCGCCTGCTGAACTCGTTTCTCTGTTTCGAGGGAGTTGGTGCCTGGCGGTACTGGAACAGAAAACGAAATGAACCCGGTCATGGCAAAGAAGACTCTTCCTGTCCCTTCATAAGCCTTTGCCAGCGAGGTGTAGAATTCTTCAACCTCGTCAGTGTCTCGTTCCCATCGCCCGGGCTTGGTCAGCTTCCATTCGAAGCGGTCGTCTGCCGGAATTGCCATCGCGATTGCTATGCGCCAATGGGTGCGGGAAGAGGAGCAGATTTTGCGATCAATAATTGTTAATTGTTCAACAGACTGGGAGGACCTGCAGCTTTTTAAGGTCACACACCCAACTAGACAAACTATGAGAGAGAACCAGAGCCAAGGGTTTCGGCCCGACATTCCGCGATGATCGTCCACGTGGTTGCACGAAGTTTCCAAATGAAGCGGGTTCACCTGCCGGATAGAGTAGAAAGGGCAGCACCGGGTAGCTTCCCCGCAGCATGGTGGATATGCCCGAAGTTCAGCCGATACCACTACGACGCTAATATGGGGAGGTCCACAGGCGAACTGACCTGGAGGGGAACGGCACATATTCCGACAAACAAGTTCAATGTTGGCAACCCCGCCAAATCGGGCACGGAGGTTGTTGTCACGCCTTTTACTCCTCCGTAGTGACGGCTAGGATCAACCAATACCGGTCACCTGCTGAAACGCTTGAAGCAGTGCGAGACTGCGGGATATTTTGTTGAGCAAGCTGGCTAATTACCCATCTCGCGGAGACTGGAGAGGAGAAGAAGAGGAGGGATGGAAAGGAATCGGTAGATTCTTGCCGTCTTGACTATCTCCTAGAAAGGCAGAGAAATGGGCGGTGCTTTATCCATGAGCACCAGAAGAGAGGCCCGTCTGGTCAATTCTGTTGGGATTTGCAACCCTGACGTTATGTGCGCTACCTATCAAGAGCATCCCATCGCAGCCTTTCTATACACATCACACCAGCAAACTGTTTAGAAAGGGCGAGGCAAGGACATTGGATATTCAAATACATCCGTACTGGATGTGGGAGGTAAGATGGCCCCCCAGTCTGAAAAGACGACGTGCTGACGCCGCTTGTAGAAAGATAACATCCTCCAGTTCACGGTTGCTGGTAAGTCTATTATTCCCTTTCCTTTCCCTGTCGAACCGCATCAGTCAGAGAACAATGGGAAACACAACATCTATTGCGGCGGAAATGGGAAGGAGAGTAGCTACCTCTTGTTACCACTTGTTTGATATCGAAGGATCCTGGGACTTTCTCTTCATGTCAATTATGCCAAAACCCGCCTTTGCCTCGCCTCGAAACTCTTGCATGGTACGATCAGATTTCTGTCGATGCCCACTTCTTCAAAGCCAACGCGCACTCGCCCATCAAACATCTCAAGCTGGATCAACTCCCCATCGACCCTTATCTCCTGGAACTTCTCTTGACACCTGAATTCATGGAATTACAGTCCCTTGATATCGATAGCCGCCTGAGCGCCCAGATCCAGATGACTTCGAGGACGGACATGCGGCACTCTCCACGCCAAGAGTAATCTCCCCGTTCTTCAAAAGGCTACTTCAACGGTGTGCCCCTACGCTTAAGTCGGTGGTGGGACAGTATATTGATTTCTCGGGAAAGCGAGACCATTTCAATCGGCGATGACCTTATTTCCTTTCCTTGTCTCCGACAGCTGAAGCTTGCCTGGGTCAGACTTTCTCCGACTCTCTTATCTTCATGTATGTCCGCGCCTCTCCGGCAACTAGCCTTGTCGTCATTTGGTGACGGTGAGAGCATGGAGAACATTCTTGCCAACTGCGAGCCTTTGCGCAATCTTCAGTTACTACTGATCCCGCGCCTGAGCGATCTCAACAATGTTGATACGCTCGTCAACTTCCTCGGAAAACACAACCACCTGCAGAAGCTTTGTGTAGAGCAATCCGTTCCCGCACTTCTAGACTTGCATATCGTCCCCCCTTTATCCACGGGGAACTTCTCAAACCTTTTCTCTCTCTCACTGTCATGGGAAGGTCCCGGCATGGACGAAGCCACGCGCCCACATATCGCGACTGTCCCGGAAGAGTCCATCGCGGCCATGAGCACAATCGTCTCGCTGGAGCAGCTATCACTTACTGCCGGCGTAGAGGTCGGATGGCGGTACCAATGGCTGGCAAATCATAAAGTTCTGCGAGCCAACTTGACGTATTGACAAAGCTCAAGAAACTGGGAATCTGCCGGGATACATACCCGATACCTGGTGATCCCGAGGTGGAGGAGTACTTCTCGTACCCCATCGTCAGCGATGCGGATCGGGCTGATGCACGACTTAGGCCAGAACTAAATGACAATGGGCCTGTTCAATATAAAGCGATATTTGAGCGCCCCCACCGCAATCGCATGCTGGTGCAGGCGGAGAAGTACGCGGCCGCGATACCTATTCTGGAGTGGATTTACTGCGGGCAGTGGCCTATGGCGATCGAAAAGCGTGGGGGTGGGACATTCAGAGCAGCGATTCCGCTAACTAAGGAACGGGATACATGCCGTATGTGTTGAGTCGTTTATTTGGCGTGGAAATCGGGAAAGGTTAAGTATTGTGGAATACAGTGGAGTTGTCTATAGGGTACGGTCAGTTTTCAGCTTCGCTGATAGCCGTACCCGCAGTTGCTACCTAGTATTTGCGTTTCAAGATCCTGATATTCTAATTCTTGTCTTCTCATAAAATCGGTCTGTAATTAATTGCGGAGCGCAGCGAAGCTTATTACGTCCTGAGTAAATGGTTGGGGGTGAGATTTCGAGAGTTGTGCTATGGTCAGTTCTATGTATGCAGGATCCTAATAATATTCTGATTAGTCGTAGAAAGATTCACAGTAACGTGACCTGCAAGCAAACATTTATGGCCTGAAATTTCATGAAGTTTCAGACAGATGGATTTACGAGGGGGATGATATACTAATCTTGACGGATATACAGTATCTCCTTTCTCCGATCTATCCTGCTGCACCGACAGTTGCATTGTGTTACGAGGACTAGTCGTGTGACCTTCATCCTCTTATTTCCCCAAACATCGTTTCCGACCAAGGTACACAGCACCCCAGTTGAACGGCGAGCATAAATGCATACACGCTGTCTTCATGGGTACTCTTCCTTTGCTCAGAGGAAACGAGATTTCTTTGGAAGATACCCTGGCTGACGACGATAATATCCTGCACCGTCTGGACTACCCGCAAAAGCAGCAAGACTTCTGTTCATATCTACTTGGCCATAAAACGGAGATTGAATCTTTAGTGTCGTTCCACCTTGGCGTGAATCTATGTGAAATTGCCGACGAGGCCGATTGGTTATTTGGGAGTTACAATATGTGCATTCCAGTCTACATAGATCGGCCTTCTGGCAAACGTGTCCTATTTCGAATCCCATTGCCTTTCAAAGTTGGAGAAGAGACGCATCCTGGGAATTCAGATGAGAAACTGCGCTGCGAAGTCGCCACATATATTTGGATTCGCGAGAATTGTCCAACTATCCCAATACCTTTCCTTCATGGGTTCGGGTTCGTCAATGGACAAACCGTGAGTTAACGTCCTGTCTCCTTGGGTCGGATTGGAGGTACTAATGCTAAATTACTGTAGTTTACCTGTGAGGAATCTATGGGTGTCTGTACTCAATTGTGTCACCGTATAAGACGAACGATGAGATCATTACTTGGGTACCCCAGGACATGTCCATTGATCAGCACGAAGAGAAGGGGTGCTCTGCGCATCGGATATATGATCATTAGCTTCGTTGAGAGTGGCAGCATGCTATCTGACACTTTGCCAAAATTCCTTCTGGCGGACAAGACCCGAAGGCATGCTCTTTTCAGCGATCTTGCAAAGATCATGCTCACCGTTAACCAGAAACCATTCTCACGTATTAGATCTTTGACATTGGATGATGATGGCTTGATTCATTTTAAAAGTCGCCCCTTAACTCTGCGTCTTCAAACTTTCGAAAATGAAGGCATCCCTACTATACCAAGGGACTCTACGTATCAGTGCGCGGAGCCTTACATCTTGGATCTGTTGCACTGTCATGACAACCGCCTCCACCATCAGCCGAATGCTATTCATGATCTTGACGACGGCCAGGAACAGCTTGCTGCTTTGACTATGATGCGAAGTCTCTTGCCTCAATTCATTTCTCGTCAATATCGCGACGGCCCATTTCTGCTCACACTTACTGATCTCTATCCAAGCAATATCTTTGTGGATGAAGATTGGCATATTACGTGTTTGATAGACTTGGAATGGGCATGCACGTTCCCTATTGAGCTACAGACACCGCCCTACTGGTTAACTGGTCGACCTATCGATGATATTGAGCATGGAGAACATCTCCAAAATTTCCAATCTGTCATTTCTGAATTCATAGAGGCGTTCAAACAGCAGGAAAAAGCCGTCTGCACGCTTGTCACTTCACAAGCTGAGATCATGAGAAAATGCTGGGAAAGAGGAAGTTTCTGGTATTTTCAAGCTGTCCATAGCCCTAAGGGCCTTCTCCGAGTGTTCAATGAGCATATCCAGCGAATTTTCTGTGAAGAGCACTGCACCCAGCGAATTTTTGATCGGACGGTGAGCCCTTATTGGTCCGTGGACGCAGGGAATTTCATTCAAGCAAAGGTGGACGAAGATTCGGACTACAAAGATCGGTTGAGGATTCGTTTTGCCGAGATTGGTCATTGATTCCCGCAGAAACGTGTCGGGCTAAACAAGTCTAACATGCCGTACGTAGATTGTATGCGTAGATTGTACGCGTAGATTGTACGCGTAGATTGTATGCGTAGATTGTATGCGTAGATTGTATGCGTAGATTGTATGCGTAGATTATATAGCAGATCGTATAGCTATATGGCCGTTGCGAATAGTAGAGGTTATTACACTAGGCCCCCCACATAAATTGCCAGAGAGGGGCCTAATACTACTTTTTACTAATAAACTTAGTATCTATATGGATATCCTGACATCCGAGATTATAATCAGTCTTAGCTCTAGATAGTAGGACCCCCTAACCAGTTAGCATTTCTCATTTCTACTACTGTACCTAGCAACAGACACTGCTATATACTATAACGTACTAAAAAGCGTGTGTAAAAATCCGCAAAGCATCCGATCCTACAAACTGCCCTGAACAACCCTCAAAGCTTCGCCTTTCCTCTTACCTCCATCTGCTTCTCCTTCCGCTTCTCCCTCTCCAAAAAGTACTCCCTAACCCTGCCCCTCGCAACATCCACAACCGCCAAATCCTCCACCGTCGGCGGCACACTAACAGTCTCGTCAAACCTGCCCCGTACACCATTCTCGACCAACGCCCTCAAAACCCGCCTCAACGTTTTCCCACTCCTCGTCTTTGGAATCATGCCCCTCCCCTGGATAATCCCGCCTAAAGAAGCGATAGCACCGATTTGTTCGCGCACATGCGCGTTGATCTCTTTGAATAGTGTATCCGGGACAGCAGCGGGTAAGTCCCCCTCTCCATCTCCAGATGCAGATGGAGATGTATATCCAGCCCCGGGTCGTAAATGCACAAAAGCAAACGGTAAATGCCCCTTCAACTCATCCGGAATCCCCACAACACTCGCCTCACTAATAGCCGGATGACACAGGATAGCCTGCTCAATAGCACCCGTGCTAAACCGGTGCGCGGCAACGTTGATAATATCGTCGCTGCGCGACATGATATGCACGTACCCTTCTTCATCGATCAGTCCCGCGTCCCCCGTATCCACCCACTGCCCGCCAAACCGCTTCAAGTACCCGTGGTAAAACCGCTCGTCGTCTTCGAAGAGGTTTGTGAATGCGGTTGGTGCGAGGGGTGCGGTGAGGACGATGTTGCCCATTGTGTTGGGCGGGACTTGGGTCCCCGTGTCGTCGACGATGCGGACGTCGAAGCCTGGCATGGGGAGGCCGGCGGAGCCGGGGCGGATGGGTAGGGGTGCGGTGTTGATGGTTGTGTGGTTCGGGTGGCATGCGCTGGTGTTCAGTGCTAGACCTGTGATGGGGGATCCGGACTCGGAGGACCACCAGTTATCGATGACCAGTGCGCCGGGCGCGGCGTGTTTGGTTAGCAGATCTTGGTAGGCACGCACGATGCTAGGTTCACTACGCTCGCCGGCAAGAAATAGTGCGCGGAGACTCTTCAGCCCCCCTCGCGCACCAACATCTTCGAATAGCTTATCCCCCGGGTCATCCTTACGGATGGCGCGCATCGCGGTTGGAGCTGTGAATAAAGCATTGACGTTGTGCTTTTCCACGATGCGCCAGAATGTGCCTGCGTCTGGTGTGCCGACGGGTTTCCCTTCGAAGAGGACGGTTGTTGCGCCGACGAGCAGCGGCGCGTATAGGATGTACGAATGTCCCACGACCCAGCCGATGTCTGAGGCGCAGAACATCACGTCGCCGGGCCCGTTGATGTTGAATAGCATGCGGATAGACAGGTCCAGGCCGACGGCGTGGCCGCCCGCTTCGCGGAGGACACCCTTTGGTAGACCCGTCGTTCCTAGTCTTTCGTATCAGAATCACATGCCCCATGCCAAACCATATACAGCAGAGGAGATTGTAGAAAGAGTCAAACCCACCACTGGTATAGATAATATACAACCCATCCGTACTCTTCACCGGCACCGGACCAGCCTTTACCCCCCTCATCCGCGCACTCTTCACCAACCGCTGCCAATTCCGCTGTCCACCCAGTTTATCCGGGTTATTCCAGCGCAGCTCATCCCTCTGCCAGACAATGACCTTGTCCGGCTTGAAACTGCTGGCTCGCACTGCGCCCTCGACTAGCGGCCGGTAGTCAATTGGGCCCTTGGACCCCTCGATGCCGCACGAGGCTGTCATGATGGCCCGCGGGCGGGCAGCCTCGATTCGCTGCGCCAATGATTGCGCTGCGAAGCCGCCGAAGACGGCGGCGTGGATGGCGCCTAGGCGGGTTATTGCTAGCGCGGCGATGAGCGCTGCGGGTATCATTGGCACTAGAGTGGGGAGGTGGTACCGTGTTAGTGGGCCATATTGCGGGGGCGGGCTTGCGCTGTGTATCTTGTGATCTGTCTGGTGGTGTGGGGAGAGGATTTGCCACCGCAACACTGCCACTGGATACAGTGGAGAGGGGGAGCGGGAGCTCAAGCTCGAGCTATCCATCCAGCCAAGGGGATCACAGGTAGATCATATCCAGACCAGCCGAACAGACAACAGACAACGAACAACAAAAATGAAAACGCAAGCCAAAAAGAACAACATACTGTAAATAATAACAACATCTCCCTTTCTAACCCCCTCCTCCCTCAACACCCCGGCCAAAACCTCCACCTCGTCCAACAACCTTGCATACGTAAACCGCTCGACAGTCTTCGTGACCGGCGACTCCCAAATAATCGCCACATCACCGCCCCGGCCCGCCCGCACATGTCGATCAACGCAGTTGTACGAGGTGGAGATCTCGCCATCGGGAAACCAAGACCAATGCTCATGCTCGACGCCGCTGGGCAATGTCTTCGTGCGCCGCGCCAGCGCGCGCGACGGCGCTTTGTGCCAGTGGAGCCGCTTCGCGGGTTCGGCCCAGAATGACTCTGGGTCGGCGAGGGAGGCTGCGAGAGCTGTTTGTTGGGGATGTGGCGTCATTGATGGTCGATGTTTTGGGGGTGATGGAGGTGTGGTTCGAGTGTGGAGATTAAGATGATGGGGAGGGGAAGTTAGACAGTCACGGGACAGTGTGGACTGGACTGGACTGTTACTGCAGGTAAGTCGTAGGTTAGTGGGTGGGTGTTAGAGTGTCAATTCGTCTCGAGACTCGAGACTCGAGGCGATGGATGGGATCAGACAGGCGAGAGGCTGGAATGGGTTGGGTTGCTTTTTGCGTTTCGCTTCTCACCTTATAATAATATTAAGCACTAAGCAGGAGATGCTACCCGAGGTCCAGGGGTTTGGGGCCCGAGTGATTGGATGCGTGTCGGGGCAGCGGATGGATGCAGGGATCCGGAATAGGACTAGTGAGGAGAGAAAATAAGAAGAGGGTTTGTCCTGTCCAGTCTGTCCAGAGTGTAGTTAGTCAGTTAGAGTGTACGGAGTACTCTGCAAGTGTTCGCTCTGTGGGACTCCAACGGAGAATGCGGGGAGAACTGGTCCGAGGGAGTCCGTGCTTTCCCCCGCAATTGCGGTCCCGGAGGACCTTTTTGGTAAAAGGATGGATTGCATGATTGGTACATGAGGGGTACATCTGCTTCAGCCGGGAATCAGCTGACGGTGGAGGTAGTGGAGAAGTAGTACGATCGACGTGGCCACTTGGACTCGGGACTGGGTGAGTTCAGCCACTGTACACCAGGACAGCAGAGGCTGAAACATGAGTTCACTTTGCTCCGTGGGGCAGTTCAACACTGAAAAGGCTGGCTCCAATGAACTACTCGAGTCTTGACTGTACTACTGAGTACTTACTGGTCCAGCCGAAAAGCTGGTGAAAGTTAAACAAACAGCCACGAACGTCGTGCCTAGAGTTCTCGGTAACGTCCAACATGCCCTGGATCCAAGCCATGAAGGTAGTTTCCGATTGTGTATTGGTCTATATACGCAAGGAAATGCGGGTGTTGAAGGGGGTTCAAGGTGAGAGATGTATAGAGGGAGACATAGAGGAAGGAAAAGTGGAAGTGGTAGTAGTAGGTAGATCAATGGAAAAGTAGAAAAAAAAATGGAAATAACAGAAACAAGCTTAGTCGTAGGGTATCATATCGAAATGCCTGCTAATGCGTGACTGCGATCTTCTGGCTTCGTCGCCTGAGAAGCTGTGTGTGTGGGCTTTTTTTCTTCTTCTTTTCTCTGCGGGCGTCGGGTTGCGCCAATAATATGCAAATGCCGGCCCCCCAATACGAATCCATCCTCGTCTTGACAATTGTAAAGTCGCCTGCTCGTCGGCTAGTCTCCACAGGCATACCGCCCACAGATAGCCATCGGTGGCGTTGGTGTGTACCGTGGTGGGTGCAGCGCCCGAATTCACGAGCCAGAAATCCCGCACTGCGCACCTGAGAAGGTTAAACTGAATTCCCAAAGCGCTGAAACATGCAGGTAAAAAGGACCCGAGACTTTCGGGTCCTCGTTTGCGAGGGGAGCAGAGTGAGATTGTCTTCTCGGACGACAAGAGCAAAAGAAGGTGTGAGGATCGTGTGGGTCGTAAGGAAGATTTGAGGGTTGTGTGTTGCGAGTAAGAGGGCAGCCGACGCCGAACGAGGTTGTAAACCAAAAGACAGAACCACCCCGTCCAAAATGCACCCGAGACCGACAAAAATGGAAAGAAGAAAACAGGAAAAGGACATGGAGGAGAGAAATCGAGCGATCAAGATCAAAAAGGAGGGAAGGGAAATGGGGGGGCAACCTGCCCTCGCCATGATGAGAGCAAGGAAAAGCTCAAAGCAGGAACAGAAAAATAAACCCAAACATCAAGACAATCCCGTGTCCCGGACGGACCCGGCCGGTCACAACAGAACACAATTGAGACGACTGCGATGTCGCCGATCGGGCCGGAATGACTTGGGATATTCGGGGCCTGCATCACGGTCTCGGTGACCGGAAGAGCCCAAGGCACCGCCGCCGCGGCCCTTGGCATTCTGTGTGTTTTGACGCTGTTGGCGCAGCATGCGGACGACGTCGTAGAAGGCCTTCTCGACGTTGATGCAGCTCTTAGCGGAGGCCTCGACAAAGTCACAGCCCAACTCCTTGGCCAGGGCTTGTCCCTCCTGTGCGGACACGGCGCGCTCCACGGCCTTGTCGCTCTTGTTACCGACCAGCATGACGGGCACGGGCAGGGCCGGGCCCCCGGGTGTGTGGCTCATGGGTGAACCTAGATAGCTAGGGCCGGAGGGAGATCCGGAGCTGGCAGACTCCTTGACCATCTTGATCTGGTTGTAGAACTTGGTGATGCGTGAGAAGGAGGACCGCGATGTGATGCTGTACACTAGGACGAAGCCCTCGCCATCCCGAATCCACTGGTCGCGCAGTGCGGTGTATTCTTCCTGGCCCGCCGTGTCCAGCACCTCGAGCATGCATGACTGTTGATCGATGACGACTTGTTTGCGGTAGGAGTCTTCAATGGTAGGGTCGTAGGTTTCAACGAAATGGTTGAGACATAGCTAGTGCGGGGGTGGAACAATAGGGGGTTAGTCAGTTGTTCACAATTTAGGTTCTGGACAAGTTCTGTTGCATGTGCTTTGCAGTGTGCTTTGTAGCTTGCTGTCAAGCTGTCCAGTTGTAGTTCCAGCAGCTTGCAGATTGTCCGGTCGGGGAGTGGGTGGATCGGAACGAGGAGGGGGGCCATTTCAAGGGACCAACCTGAATTGTAAGAGCCGTCTTGCCAACACCTCCATCTCCTAGCACCACCAACTTGTACAATGTCATTTTCCCCGACATGGCGGGCAGATGGGGGGTCGGGAGTGGTCGGAGCAAGGGGGGTTTGGTGGTTGGTGGAGGGAGGTTCGGAGAAGGAGGAGGAGGAGGAGGGGGGGGGGAGGGGTTCAGGGATTGGAGGGTCGCGAGGGAGTTCGGAGGGGAGTCAAGGAGGGGCTTGCAGGTCGAATAGAGGGGGAAAATGAAGGGGAGAGAGAGGATGAAATGGTAGTGAACAAAAGCTCCCACAAGAGAATGAAAAAGAGAATGGAAAGAGGAGAGGTTGAGAATGCAGAGGAGGAGGAGGAGGAGGAGGAGGTTAGGTGGTGGTGGTGGTGGTGGTGGTGGTAAGTAGAAGTGGACGTGGAAGTGGAAAGTGGTGGATTGTGCCAAGTGGAGGAGGAGGACCAGGAGGATTAGTGTTTGGGTCGAGAAAGACAGAGGGACTGACTAAAAGAGAGGCCCCGTTTTGTGCGAAAGTCTGGGTCGGGCAGTGGCTGGAACTAAGTGGAGTGGGAGTGGCAGGAGGAGGGGTTGGCCATGATAGCTTGGGAGGGACGAAGAACAAGTCGAGGGTGATGATGATGAGAATGAAAGATGGCGAAGAAAAGAAAAAGGGAAAAAAGGAATCCTAATCAAGAGAGGAGGAACTGCTCATACAGTAGCTCACTAAAAGAGTCCTCCCCCCATCGAACAAATCAGCATCATAGGTCTGACACCAGGAAATAAAAAAAAAAAGAAACTGAGTAAGAAAGACCCGTTAGCCTATGAGGGCCTTTGGACGGGAATTAATTCTCGCTCTTTTTCCAGCGAGCCAGGCTCTCGCAGATGTCCCATTCCTCTGGTCCCCCCGGTCCAGGTCCAGTCCTCCCTAGCGCTGCGAGTTCTTAATCCTGCCTTCATAAGTACTTGACTCCGTTCTAGTTTAGGTTCTTCGATCGACTCTGAGACCATCTCGGGTACTTGCCCCCCCAAGAAGAGGAATCTCGGCTACTACTGTAAATCATCATGATAGATACTCACAGTACTTTGTTAGGTCTGTGCTAGCACCAGTACCTCATATGGCCATCGGCATCATGTGAATCACTTGTCAAAGCCTTAAGGCACGTCGTTAATGTCAGAAAAGAAAGCACAAAAAGGAATAAAATTCAATTGTACTGAAATGCAAACAAAGACCAATTACTGATTACAGTACTGCCTGAGTAACATGTGATCATGCGCGATCTCTAGATTATTCACTACTGAGTGTACCAACAACCCATCTAGCAGGGTGCAAAGGATTCTGGCCAAAGTACATCTCCTTTCCCCTACATTAATTAGAGTACAGTATTGTGATTGGCATGATCCTTACAACACTAGGACCACACTTTGTCAAGTGTATCTCAATCCCATAGCAATGGCCTAGTTACAGTAGGTCCCCCTACCTCCTCCTTTCTGCGCAGAACACTCCATAATCTGCACCTTTCTTCGACAATTGGGTATGCTAAACTACAATCGGTCGCAAGAAGTAATATGATGCCCAAAGTACCAAGAGCGGAGATCAATGCAAACCAGGGCTGTGCTTAACCTTCGGAAAGACTCAACTTCGACATCTACGAGTCTACACAATCAAATACCGAAAAGAACCCCCCAATTGAACATGAAAATCGAAAATTGAACTACCGCCCCGCCAGCCAACCAAGTCCACCACTCCCTTGCTAGGCCAAGATTTGACATCCGCCCACTGTGCGGCACTTTTGAGTTGTTAGGGCCCACCCGGAAGCTATCCGCGCTCCATCGTGCGGACTGCGGATGAGAGGGATCAGAACGAGGGAATGACCGACCGCTCAAATTGACAGTACAGAAATGAAACCAACAATCTTAAATAAGGAACATACAAAATGTTGATAGCCTACACAGCAAGAAGAAAACTTGTTGATCGCCGAGTACTGTACCGCAGTAGCTGTGCTCGCAACGCAGAAGTACACTTTCGACCTCAGTCTCTCAAATCGAACGCAGAATCCGGTCTATCATTGAAACCTTCACGTGGATCGGCCCCCTTCGATCGCGACCTAGACGTTTGGGCACCCGATCCGACCGGATAGAAAATACTCTTTTGCGGATGGTGCGGTGCTTAAGCATAACTTAGAGGTTGATTGAGTACCGTCTACGGAATACAGTTTTATAGTACTCCGTGTACATTGAACCATAGTTTGAGGTGCGATGGGAGAAATGACAATTGACAATTGGTAGAACAGAATCTAGATGATGCA